TGACTACCTCAGCAAAGGTAGTCAGACTTGAAGCTAGCTTTGATGCTGCAGTGTCATAGGCAGCTCTGGACTCCTCAGTGGCAAAGTTGAAGGGCAGTTGTGAGAAGTGGTAGGTGTCTTGTGTGGAATATCCCTGCAACATGGTGTGAAGGATATGCACAGGGGCATGGCCAAGCTCTAGAGACTCAAGGTGGAGGTGGATAATGGCAGTAGAGTTACCAGCCACTTCAGAGGTGGTGGCATGCTCAAACCCCCCAATGACCACAAGAGGGTGTTTCAGGACTGGCTTGCCTGACAAGTAGAAGCCCTGTACTTGGAGTTAGAAGTGATTGGGGTGGCAATATGCACTTACAAAATAGGGCTGAGGACTTTCAAATCTTGTCATTTTCCAATGACAGGAAACACACCTGAAGTTCATCCAGAGTTTGAGTCAATGGAATTAATTCATAAAAGGGAGGTTAACACACCTGAAGGTCACAGGAAGCTGGGTGACCTCTGCAAGGCAATCCTCAGGTACTACAACACACTTGTTACACACTACCCTTCTGCAACCTGCCTGATCACAAGGCCACAATGTCCCTCCATCCCTGCACATCACACAGAACTGCATAGAATGTTAGAAAGATGGATGAAATATAAAAAGAGACTTGCCAAGTTCCTCATCCTTCTCTTCTTGGAAACAGGGGCCTTCCTAGCATGGGCCTTGCTTGACTTGGCAGCATGTTTTTCCCTAGCTTTCAGACCAGCAAGAGATACCCTGGGAGCTCTACCCCCAGTGGTCTTCTTAGCTGTCTGCTTGGTCTTCACCATCTGAGTCTATTATGCCAACATTAGTGAGTGGCAGCAACATATGACACAGAAGGGAACAGTAGCATACCTTATTATCTTTACAAGACACAGAAGGTGTAGGGGACAAGCAGTAAGATAACAATAAATGCATTTAGTTTAGTACATATATCATGCAGCAGGGATAGATATCTACATATTTATGGAAAAGAGAAGCCAATGTATGCAACTACACAACACTGGGCACTGGATAAGCAGACCAAAGAGGGTGATATGTAAGTATCATCTGGACACCATGAAGTAGAAGTCCAACAACATACCTTATTGGATGAGACACAGCAAGGGAGATGCAGTGTGGCAGGAGGGAGATATGAATTGATAGTCTACTAGTGTGTTTTGTGAGTGGTACAGGGACACCAGGAACTGGGACAACATACCTTTTGTGGGATGAGACACAGCAAGGGGGTGTTCTGTGAGTGGTAGAGGGATGCCACGACCTGGGATGACATACCTTTTTTTTTTGATAAGGCACAGCAAGGGGGTGTTCTGTGAGTTGTAGAGGGACGCCACAAAGCTGGGACAACACACCTTTTTTTTTGGATGAGCACAGCGAGGGGGTGTTCTGTGGGTGTTTTGTGAGTTGTAGAGGGACACTGTGCGAGCTGGGACGACATACCTTTTTTTTGGATGAGGCACGGTGAGGGGGTGTTCTGTGAGTTGTAGAGGGATGCTGCAAAGCTGGGACGACATACCTTTTTTTTTTGGATGAGCACGGTGAGGGGGTGCTCTGTGAGTGGTAGAGGGACGCTGCAAAGCTGGGACGACATACCTTTTTTTTTGGATGAGCATGGCAAGGGGGTGTTCTGTGAGTTGTAGAGGGATGCCGCGAAGCTGGGACAACACACCTTTTTTTTTGGATGAGCACAGTGAGGGGGTGTTCTGTGGGTGTTTTGTGAGTTGTAGAGGGATGCTGCACGAGCTGGGATGACATACCTTTTTTTTGGATGAGGCACGGTGAGGGGGTGTTCTGTGAGTTGTAGAGGGATGCTGCAAAGCTGGGACGACATACCTTTTTTTTTTGGATGAGCATGGCGAGGGGGTGTTCTGTGAGTGGTAGAGGGATGCCACGACCTGGGATGACTTACCTTTTGTTTTTTGATAAGGCATGGTGAGGGGGTGTTCTGTGGGTGTTTTGTGAGTGGTAGAGGGATGCCACGAGCTGGGATGACATACCTTTTTTTTGGATGAGGCATGGCAAGGAGGTGTTCTGTGAGTGGTAGAGGGACGCTGTGACCTGGGACAACTTACCTTTTTTTTGGATAAGGCACGGTGAGGGGGTGTTCTGTGAGTTGTAGAGGGACACCGCGAAGCTGGGATGACATACCTTTTTTTTGGATGAGCACGGCAAGGGGGTGTTCTGTGAGTGGTAGAGGGATGCTGCGACCTGGGACGACTTACCTTTTGTTTTTTTGATAAGGCATGGCGAGGGGGTGTTCTGTGAGTTGTAGAGGGATGCCGCGAAGTTGGAATGACATACCTTTTTTTTGGATAAGCATGGCAAGGGGGTGTTTTGTGAGTGGTAGAGGGACGCCGGGAAGTAGGATGACATACCTGTTTTGTGGATGAGACAAGGCAAGAGGGTGTTCTGTGAGTGGTAGAGAGATGCCACGCACTGGGATGACATACCTGTTTTTTGGATGAGACCCGGCAAGAGGGGGGGGGTGTTTTGTGAGTTGTAGAGGGATGCTGTGAGCTACTTACCTTCTTTTTGAATGAATGGGCTTTGTGAGTAGTATGGGACACTGAACAACGTGCAATAGACTGAGAAGAATGGCAGCGTCCTGGTGTGTGATGTGAGTGTTGAAGCCATGAGAGGTTTGACAACATACCTTTTTTGTTTTTTTTTTGAAGGGAGATGCGGCATGACGTACCTATTTTGTGTTTAGAGAGGGAGAGGCACGAGAGATCCAGAGGACGACAATGTACCAAAAATTTCGCTGAGATGCAGCAGGGCCAGAGAGTGGGATAACACAACGACAGTCGGTGAGGGAGACACTGTGTGGCAAGAGGAGAGGAGCAAAAGACCATGTCAATCTGGATACTCAGATGCACAGATCTTGATTTTGGACAGGTCACATAGTGAGACCTATGATAATCTTGGACACAACCTTAATTGTGACATGAACAATGTCACAGCTGTCATGATTATCACACGTGTCTACCCATACTTCGGATGCTGTCTCTGGAACATTACGTAGGACTATATATGGAGTGGTCAGTCGCCTGCTAGGCCGATTTCTGGTTTCAATAAGTGACTACATGTATTAAATGATCTGGTAGTGCTACTACAATACATTTTCTGTGAAATCCCAAGGGTAAGCCACCACTACCACTCAGCCAATGGCATGAGGGAGTGCTTGCTCGGCTCAACAATGCAATTACGAGAATGTCAAGCGAACATTTAGTATTTAGTATATAGAAGCCGAATCCGGTGACAGTGGAGTCACGTGACATCAGCTATTCGCAATGTATAGTACGACATGCAGTACTGACTCAGAGGAAGTTGCCGGCACTCATGGCAACTGAACACGTGCCGAGGCCGAGAACGTGACATTGACTGGCGACCTCACTAGTTGGACTGTGGCCAAACAATGGTACATAAGACTCAAGTATATAAATCCCCCCCAGTCAGTGGCATGTTTTTTCCCTTACTGCTGTTTCCCTGCGATGTGACACTTCCCCTCCATCGTCCTCCCTCTCCCTCCATCTCCATCTCCCTTTCCCCCTCTCTCTCTCCCGTTTTGTGTGCTACTGTCATCTTCATTTTTATCTCAGCCCATCGTCTCGGCTGTCATAAGGTAAGTGGCACCTCTGATCCCAGAATTTTCACATTACTTGATTACCATTACTTTGCAGCATCCTTGGTGCCTCACTATTGACTGTAGTCTGCAGCTACAGGATGTAGGGAGGGGCTGCCCTTGACCTTAGATTGTGCTTGGCCAGCGCAATTTTTGGTTGTTGGGTAATATGTTGGGTCTGGGGGAATAGTCTGTGCCTACATTGTAGGCCAGCTCATATGGGATCTGGGGGCTAGTCTGTACCTACATTGTAGGTCAGCTTATGACATTTTATTTGGTCTGTACCCACCTGTGTGGGTCAGCCTATGATGTTTTTTTGTGTGGTATGTGTTGGTATATATTGGTAGTAGCTAGTTGGTCAGGCTTTGGTGTAGTGAGTATTCAACTTCTGTATAATCTATGTTGTACTGACATAAACTTTCTAGAGCTGTTTGTCTTTGACTCCTGGTGAATAAATAGTGCACCTCAGGTATGTGAACTTTGCAAAGTTGTGTTGATGCTAATGTGTTTTTAGTATCTTTGTTATCAGCTTTTGTGCACTTTTTTGGGAACTTGGTTGAATTGAGGACTGGTTTTTATTGGCCCAACTGTACTTCTGGAGGAGGGCCCCCTCTGGAATGCAGGCAAGCCTTGGTTTCTTATGAAACCATTATACCTTTGTAGTTGAAATTGTAACTGTAGTTGAATTTATGTATGACCTTGTAAATGTCACTGCTTTGATTGGATTTGAATGCTGTGTGGGAATCTATGCTTCTTTTTTTGAATGAAGCATGTGCTAACCCTAACCCTAGCATAAGACTTGGTGTATTTCTTCATGCAAGTCTCCTTCTAACCCTAACCTTAGCAAATGACTTGGTGTATTGTTTCATGTCAGTCTGCCTGGCTGGTGGATGGTGCTAGATTAGCACTGGTGTTCCATGGCTGATCTTCTTAAGCAAGGTTTCCCTTTGATGCTCAAGAGCTTGCCAATGGCATTACTAGCAACCCAACATCTTCCCTTCAAATGCTGACTGGATGTGTTCCTAGCTGTTGGATGTTGCTAGATTGCTAGATTAGTATTGGTGTTCCATGGTTTCCCATGATGCTCAAGAGATTGCTGGACTGGATTGACTTGGAGTTCAACTGCTGCTGAGTTTGATTCCACCATTCCAGGCCCCTGCTTACATGACTAGATGTTTCAAGAAACATGGTGTATCTAGTAGACTAAGTTGGGTTTCTGGATTCTGGATCTTCCCCCAAGTCAAGCAAGGTCCCTTGTGGAGAATAACTTCCAACTTATGTACTGAGTGATTTTTAACTATTTTTCTCACGGTTGAAAAATTTTCCTTTGACTTTTCCAACACCCCCCACATCATCATGGATGATTCCCTGCATACAATGGTGGTTGGAATGCTGAAGGCTGCCTTTGGAACAGTCCCTATGATCTCTTCCAGCTCTATTTTCTCAAATCACCAGCTCAGGAAGCCAAGGTAAGCCATAAGCAGTGATGCTACACTTGCTATGTATTTAGTTGGATAATAGACTTCGATCCTTGGCTGAGTTAACCCAAGTCAGGGCAACATTGCAAGGGGAATCTGGTCTAACTTCAGATGCTATTACATCTTTGGAAGTTAGGCTGGCATCTGCAGTCATTACACATGCCATCCTCAATCCCTGTAGGTGATTTCCACAACAATTGCAAGTGATCCAAGTCTGACCCTTAATAGATGTGTTGCATTGGGATGCAGACAGGTTTTCTGAACCATTGGTGCATGCCAAGGACAGGACCATCCATTTTGAAAACCCAAAAATTGGGTATATCAATGCTCCTGCCACAGTTCTGGATGTGCATGGCAGGGTGATAGTATGGTATCTGCCTGGTATTGTCCCAGATGCATGGATAGTGAGTGTTTTCATTCTCTGACAACCCTTCACTACAGCTTTTATATCATAGGAACTTCTCAATTCCCTTCTCCTTTCCATAAAAGACAATCTTCAGACTGAGCCCAAGAACAAGCCAAAAGACAAAAGCAAGCTTAACAAACGATATGGCCATAAGCATCAGCCTGTTGACCAAGTCATGTATGGACATGGCAGGATTTCCATGTCTCCTGCCACATTCCAACAGGCTCATGAGGTTTGTCCAGGTGCTGTGATTTCCATGGTAGGGGCTGACAAATTTAAAGAGGTTGGTTGATACACTCTATCAAAGCACATCCCTCAAACAGAAAGCCAATAGGGAATGGCTGCTCAAGATTTCTTATGTGGAACACTTCTGGAGCAATATAGCAAAGGTCTCATTGCCAGATATGGCCAGGGCTGGTGATCAAGCAATGTTGGCCAAGGCTGGCAGGGTGGAGAATGAGATATCCCTGGATTGGCCATCAGGTCTATACCAACATTGATATTATTGTCAATCAGGAAACTCCCTCTCACCTGAGATGTCACATCCACCCCAACCCTTCTGGATTCATTAGTGAGCCTGGGTTCTCACAATGCTAAATTCCTTATTCCAGATCTGGGGGCCAAACTGGCTTATTCCCCAGGCACCATGATTTTCCTATCAGGAAAAATCCTTCAACATTCTGTGCCAAAGTGGGAGAAGGGAGAAAGAATTGCATTGGTGCATTATATGAAGGACAAAGTACATGACCGACTCAAGGTCACAAGACCAGCATGGACTACCCAAAAGGACATTCTTGGGTTGGCTGTCAGATACACTTAAAACACATTTTAGTGGCAATTTTTGGGTACAAATATTTTAAATACATTTGATAACCTTGTTCTGGACTTGTGTGGTGTTGTTTTGGGGATGAAAAATTTTCAATACAGCTGAAAACCTTGCTTTTGACTCTTCCTGTGCTCAATCATGTGTCATTCGTAGAACCAAAGTCCTTGGCAAAAGCTCTGCAGGAGGTTTGTATAAATTTGAAGTCACTAAAACCCAGGAGAGGAAAGGACACCTACAAGGAGGTGGATGCTAGACACCTCTACCTCCCATCTCAGAGTCAACCTTCAACTCCAAGGACCCCCAGGACAATAGGCTCCCAAAATGTTGTCCCAGACTCCTTTGACATGCCTACCTTGGACTGGAATGATGAGGAAGATACCCCAAATACTAGGAGGGTTACCAAGGTGGGAAGTTTTGCCTGATACTGCATTGGCTAAATTATCCCCTAGAGTCAAAATGATTTCATCAGAGAATGGCTGCCTTGGAGAGCAGAATATCTCAAAGTCATTCTTGAGGGAGAGCAGCTGGCTAAGGGGGGGATATGTGAGCAGTGCTGTCAGGCAGAAGGAAGTATCAGATGCATGTCCTGCATTGGTGTGCATGCCTGGTGTGGTCCTTGTGCTGTGAAAGTGCATCAAAATCTTCCATTCCACAAGGTACAAAGATGGAATGCTACTCATTACCAGGATACCTCTTTGATGGCACTTGGGTTCCTTTGGCACATTGGCCATGGGGGTCGTCCTTGCCCTCAAAACAGACAGAATCAGGATCCAGACTCAGAGGAGTTGGGCTATACTTCTGGGGAAGGGCCTCCCAATTACAGGTCAATGGCAGTCATATCCTGTAGCCTCCATGTTAACCTCTGGTAGCAGGAGATCCTTCAGATCAAAAATGACCATAGTGCACACAGAAGGAATTTTCACTCATGAGATTTCTTGGTGCAATTGCCCTGGGTCAGATCCAATCAACTGGCACCTTGATTTACTCAGGGAAAGACTCTTTCCAGCCAGTATAACAAAGCCCAAGACTGCTTTCACCTTTGATGTTCTTAATCACTTTCTCATTGATGCCCTGGAATGCAAGACTTCAGCTATGAGTTTCTATCAGAAGCTGAAGAGGTTCACCAACAATGCATTTCCTGACTGTATACCAGTTGAGTGCCATGCACTATTTGCTCTTAGGGGGTTCTATTAATGCATTCATTTCCAATTAGGACAGGTACCAAGAGCTGATGAGGGTTTCCAGACTGTGGAGGGATTTGAAACATAGGAAATGGTTTGGCTTTGGTCATGATAAAGAACAAGATCCTAGACAAGGAGAACTTGCACTCTTTTGTCCTGCCTGCCCACAACCAGGTATTAATTTACCTCCAGATTGGAAAACCCAATATGACAGGTATGGAGTGATAATCTGTAGGGTTTTGATTTCTAACTCCCCTCCCCCCTTAGTGATACCATAATGAGGCAATATGTCATGGATGGCAACTTCACTGCTCAGCATATGAAAATGAACAAGCCTGAGTTGGATGTGTCATTAGCAGATGGAACTGGTTACATGGTTGCTGAAAAGCCCTACCAGGCCCATCTTGAGCAGTCTTTGGATAACAAGGAGGTGAGTTGTCCCAAGGTCATGGAGTTTAAATGACCCACTGTACTGGTAGAGATCCACCTGCAGCAATCACAGGGCAATCAATGCTGCTAATATTAACAAGTCCAATCTCCAGGTCCACTGGGATTGGTGCCACAGCCTGTGCTCAGGCATGGTTGCTTTGTTCCCCATTCTGTGGTGGACTTTCAGAAAGGGGAAAAGTGAGTGGACCTGATGGATGTACTGGAAGCCTTTGGAACTCATTTTGTGCTAGGTACATGAACACAGATTACTCCATCTGCAGTGCTCTTGATTATCATTCAGAAAGCATCACAAAGGCCCTTGTCATTTATGATGTTGGGTGCCAGTGGAGTATTAACTTCCAGAGTCGGGTAAAATCCAGCTGCTCTCTCCATCTCCCTCCCTCCCTGGAAATCATTCCTGCTGTGGGGAAGTTTCATCTTGCTGCCCACAAACTCTCTTGCTTTCCAAGATATAGCCTCAACTTTATCAAGGGTGCTGGTCATCTGGATGGTGAAATTTTGGAGACATTGTGGGCTCCATTCAATAAGATCTCTCCCACTGCAAGGTCTATGACTCAGGCCCACAGACAAGAAGTGTATGATGACCATATGAGAGATTCTAACTGGAAAAAAATTGTCAACATGGGTGAGAGACCTTTTCTTCAAAGAGAAGTTAATTTACCCTGTACATCTCAGTTCCTGCACTGTTGAAAAAATACAAGACCTCACACAAGTGCCTAGAAGAAATGAATCAGGCATATGAGCAGTTGACAGCTGTTCTAGACCCTGGCCAACTTGCCCAATGGGAGTCAGATGTTCTTGAGGCAGAAGCAAATCGAGGTGATTCCCTAGACATTTATTTGTTGAAAGGGGAAAAAGGTCAGTATGTTCCTAAGAAACCCTGGGCATGTCTGATGGCCTGTAGCCCCTACCATGGGTGAAGTGCAGTTAAAGCTCATGAAAAATCCACCTGTGTCCCCAGGGAGCCATGGTTCTGTGGCTTGGCTTGTGGAAGGAATTAGCATAGAGGATGCACAGTATGGTCTGTGGTTTCCAGAAGCAATAGGTTGCTAACCAGACCTGCAGGGACCAGCTAAGATCTGAGCTTAGACAGAGCCACATGTCTACCAGACAAGAAATCAAAGTCTCAGAGAAAAGAAAAAGACTTTCTGCCAGGATTGACAAATTCCATGGCACCAGCCAGGCATTTCTCAAAGGTTTGGAGGTGGATGATGTCTTCATACCCCAGGATGATCCAGCATTCCTTGGGCAAGGTGAAGAAATTGATGACAATGGAGAGTACTGGGAAGATGATGAGGATTGGGAGGCTACAGAAGAAGGAGAGGAGCTACCTGCTGAGCTCATGAGTATATGGATGCCCTCATCCATTGGAGCAACCAAACTGATGGAGCTTGGCCTTCATGACCTCCTCAAAGAAGAAATGGAACTCAGGATTGGGCAAGCTAATGATTGTCTAGACCAGCTCCGAACCAACCTTGGACACAAGGCAATGTTATACAGACAGAACTTCCGCAGTGCACAATCAACTAGGGAAGGTACAAGAACCAAGCAGGACATCCAAAAAGTGGTGGCTCAGGATAAACAAGCAGGTCAGAAGTTATCAGAGGGCAAGGCAGGCCATTCTCCAGTTGGAACCCAATCAAGAGATTGGACAAAAATATCAGGCTATTCAGCCCCAGGACCTGGCAGTGAGTAAGGATGTTACAGAGGAGAACCGGTTTGGGCAGGGAACCAGCAAAATGGCATGGTTTTGGATGATGGATGGTGAACAGGGTCAACTGAATGCTGAGAAGGGGGGTTTAATGGAGGAGTGTAAGTGTTAATACTACTCAAAAAAATCTCACCGATAAATTGTGGGGCAGTTTACAGGATCAACTGGCTCAAAGCAAGGGCAAGAAGGGACAGGTGGAAAGAAGAATTGTCATTGGTGAGGCATGAGATGGTTTGGGCCATCTTATGGTTTGAGTTCCAGAAGGACATATGGGAGAAAAGGGCTCTACAATTGTTGGAACCAGGGAAAAAGGCTTATGCTCATAAGCAGATAGTGTTGTGGACTGACTTTTCCAAAAAGGCCCAATTGATGTTCCAAGGTAAACAAATGGATTGTATTTAGAACATGGGTATATGTGTATAGTTTTCCGATTACCCTTGCTTTGCACTTGGTATCTGAATCAAAGTGAATAGCAAATACATCAAAACAATCATACCATAATGGTACCTTTCCTAAAAGAGTGATGGCCAAAAACTTCAACCTCCTGCCTAAATTGGGAAAGGCTGAAAAATTTTCACCTTGCTTCCAACCTCCATCATCTGTGCTGCTAATTATCCCCCTGATTTTATTCTCTCATGGCTGATTGGTCTGAAGTCTACTCTGATCTGCTGTCCTCCTATGTGGAGCAGTACACAGATGCCCAAGGGAATCCTGACCTCAGGGCCCAGATCCTGGCTGATGTGAAATCCCAGATCCTTCAGCAAGCATCTTCAGGATCTGTGGAATTGCCCCAGAACTTGAGAGTGGTAGGGTATCTTTTTCATCAAGTTTCACATATCTCAAGTGTATTTAGGCCATCAGAAGGGTGTTTTTGCCAGAACTAGACCCTGAAGACCAGGATGATGAGGAACACATCATTGAGAGCATCCTGGCTGCAACAGACAAGAGGAAGGAGCAGCCTGGGACTGGTGAGGATGAGGATGGCAGAGAGGAGAGGACCAGACCTACCAAGGCTGGAAATTACAGAAAACCCTTCACTGATTTTACTGCCTCCCAGCAGCTCTTCAAAGAGGACATGGATGCCTATGATAGGGAGAGGAGGGACACCAAGGACCCCAAGACCATAGGTCAGAGGACCAAAATCATCCAACAGTGGTGGGAGTCTCTTGCAGATGACAAGAAGGCTGAAGCAGGGAGGGCTGCTTCCAAGTGGAATAAGTTGGGAGCTCCAAAAGAAACTCATGAATTGTCAGTGCTGGTCTACTTCAAATGTCTTATACTAATCATGCAATAATTCAGGTACAGGAGAAAAAATTTTCCCAACATGGCCAGAGACTTTATTGAAACAGTCAGGAGGACCATGGGGTCAAATATAGTGATGTTTCTGGCTCATGAGACTACTGATTCTCAGATCAAGATGGCAGTGTAGGTTCCCCTTTACCTTGTCTATCCAATGCTAATGAAGAAACCTAGCTTTGAAACACAACCCCCTGATGGGAAGAAGGCCTTCTCAGAGTCTTCAGAGCCCACCAAGGATTGGGTTCTAAAGGGAGAGCAAATGTTAACCAATTATCTTTTGACTGAAGCTGGTAAGTGATAAACGTTGGTGATCAATGTAATATGTGTACCTAGGTTGATTCCATACTCAGCTGAGGAAGATTTGAATGATGAGAATCCAAAGGTGGAGATAGCCTTGGATGATGAAGGAAACCCAGAGGTACCAGCTTGGACTGGTCAGAAACTCAAGGTCCAGCAGAGTTTGGCAAGAATGGTCTTCCAGGCTGCCTATGGTATGTTCTTGATTGTCAAGTGCATCTACAGTTGTTGATGGAAGTTGGAAACATAGCAAAGTTTACAGGGAAGCCCAAGGCCAAGGTTCCCTGGGGCCTGCTTATCAAGTCCCATTTGGAGTATCTGAGTTCTGATTCCATCCCAGAAGGATTTGTGATGAAAGATCCTTCAAAATGGACCAAGGCCAACATGTGGATGCTTTGGAATCATTGGAATTCCCAAGAGGAGGAGGATAAGGTGATTGTTTCATTCATCAAGTGCAAAAAGGAGGACAAGCCATTGGGAAGGCCCTGGAACAGGAAAACCCCATCCAAAAAGAGAGAGTGGATGAGCCCTGGGGAGGACAGTGAAGCTGGGGTGGAGGCCAAGCCCTCAGATTTAGGGGAATGAAATTGGTGGGGCTGGTATGACCCCTATAGCAACTTCATCAGGGGCCCAGGATATCCTTGACTCTGGGAGGGCCCCATCTGAAGATACCCCTCATGAATCCAGCCCTGCTTGTCATGCCAATGGGGACAGGGTGAAATATTTAAAGTCCCTTTGCATCATGCCCAGGTACCAGGAACTTGTTGAGCTTGTAGATGGCTTGCCAGAGACAGTAAGTGATAAACTTTCTTCAAATACCAGGTTAACAAACATTTTGTACAGGAACCTGATGCTGGACCAGTCAACCTGCCTGTCTGGGCATCTTGGGCCTGGAGTGCCCAGTATTTGCCCCAGGAGATGCATGGCAATGGGGATTCCTTCTGGAAGGCACTGTATCAATTGCAAAGTGAAAAGTTTGCATCCACCCAGAAAGGTCTTACCATTGTACTGGGATTTGGTTTGTTGTGGAGGGAGTGCAAAAGAGCACAGGACATAGAATCAGATGACCCTGAAGCTGCTAATCTGGGCTTTTTGCTAGGCTCAGGTCTTGATATCCTACAAGGGGGAAGATGTTATGGGTGCAGTGGGGCTGGTAGTTGCAAGACTGCAGCAGAATTCTGGTGGCTCAAGCAGAGGGATTGGTGCACAGGAAACAACTGGGGTCAGTGCAGGGGATTCCTGTCCCACCCAGGGGGGTGGCATGAAGGAATCCTGGAATACAAGAAAGGATGTGAGGAAAAGAAAAAGGGGAGGCAGTGGGGATGTTGATCAGAAGATGGCAAAGGAGGGTGAAGAGGCAAGCAAGAAATCAACTAGAGCTCATCAACCAACCAAGAGAGCTCTGGGTCTTGGTCTATAAATAAACTGTAGATGGTGTGAATCAAAAGGATCCCTATATATGGCTACCCATGCTCATTGCAAGTTTCAAACCCTGTGAGATCACTGACATCACCTGGAGGTGAAGAATGGCCATGGATTCAGGGGGTAAGGCCACCCCCCAGTGAGGTTGGCCAACACTGGTCTCAGGGGGTATGTCCATCTGGAAGTGTCATCAGAGTCAATACTTCTGGTAACATCTAAATTGACAAGCAATTGATTATGCCAAGGGAATTTTCAGGGTTTGGCCAACCCTACTTCCAGGTGGTGAGGTCTGTGTCCATCCCCCAGTGAAATTGGCCAACACCACTTCCAGGGTGTGAGTCCATCCCCCAGTGAGGTTGGCCAACACCACTTCCAGGGTGTGGGTCCATCACCCAGTGAGGTCAGCCGACACCACTTCCAGGGTGTGGGTCCATCCCCCAGTGAGGTTGGCCAACACCACTTCCAGGGTGTGGTTCCATCCCCCAGTGAGGTCAGCTGACACCACTTCCAGGGTGTGGGTCCATTGCCCAGTGAGGTCGGCCAACACCACTTCCAGGGTGTGGGTCCATCCCCCAGTGAGGTCGGCCGACACCACTTCCAGGGTGTGGGTCCATCCCCCAGTGAGGTCGGCCAACACCACTTCCAGGGTGTGGGTCCATCCCCCAGTGAGGTCAGCTGACACCACTTCCAGGGTGGGGGTCCATTGCCCAGTGAGGTCGGCCAACACCACTTCCAGGGTGTGGGTCCATCCCCCAGTGAGGTCGGCCAACACCACTTCCAGGGTGTGGGTCCATCCCCCAGTGAGGTCGGCCGACACCACTTCCAGGGTGTGGGTCCATCCCCCAGTGAGGTCAGCTGACACCACTTCCAGGGTGGGGGTCCATTGCCCAGTGAGGTCGGCCAACACCACTTCCAGGGTGGGGGTCCATTGCCCAGTGAGGTCAGCCGACACCACTTCCAGGGTGTGGGTCCATCCCCCAGTGAGGTCGGCCGACACCACTTCCAGGGTGTGGGTCCATCCCCCAGTGAGGTCAGCTGACACCACTTCCAGGGTGGGGGTCCATTGCCCAGTGAGGTCGGCCAACACCACTTCCAGGGTGTGGGTCCATCGCCCAGTGAGGTCAGCCGACACCACTTCCAGGGTGTGGATCCATCCCCCAGTGAGGTTGGCTGACACCACTTCCAGGGTGTGAGTCCATCCCCCAGTGAGGTCGGCTGACACCACTTCCAGGGTGTGAGTCCATCACCCAGTGAGGTTGGCTGACACCACTTCCAGGGTGTGGGTCCATCCCCCAGTGAGGTCGGCTGACACCACTTCCAGGGTGTGGGTCCATCCCCCAGTGAGGTCGGCTGACACCACTTCCAGGGTGTGGGTCCATCCCCCAGTGAGGTCAGCTGACACCACTTCCAGGGTGTGGGTCCATCGCCCAGTGAGGTTGGCCGACACCACTTCCAGGGTGAGTCCATCCCCCAGTGAGGTCAGCCGACCTCCCTCCAACATGTCGGCCTATCCACCATCAGGGTCTATAGGCCGATGTCGGTTAGTCCCACTTTCAGGACCAAATGTGCATGTCAGATGACCCACTTTCTGGATTACATGTGACTGAAGGGTCTGGCCTTCTTTTTGTAGCATTCATCCTCTGTATGTCTGGTTTTGCCACAGGTGGCATAATTACACTTCTTCTTTTTCTTCTTGTCTGTTGCTTTTGACTTTTTTCCTGGGTTAGTCTTAGCAGCAAGGGCAGAATGCACTGTTGAAGTTTGTTGCATTTTTTCTTCTACCAGGACTTGGGATATGACAGTCTCAATAGTGAGCTCGTCATTCATGGACTTAAGGATTGTCCAGAGAGTGGAGTATGACTGCAGGAGAGAGATTACCATCACAATTGCTACCAGCAAGTCATTGAAGGGTTGGCTGAGCAACGAGAGGATGTGGGCTTTTTGCTGCATGGCATTTAGCTGCATTTCCATAGGCTGGTTGTTGGCAAGCATGCCACAAAACAGTTCTCCTATAAGATAGGCTATGGATTGCTTTCCTTTTCCTTCATACCACTCACTAAGCTTTGTCCAGGTCTCTGCTGCAGTACTTGCATACAGAACACTGCTAAGAGGCTCATCCTTGAGCATTAAGGTAATCTGTGCACATGCTTCCTTGTCTTTAATTAGCCATTCCTTGTATTGGTCTGGGTTCATCTTCACATCTGGAGCAGTCTTCTCTATGCCAGCAACTACATTCCAGAGGCCTCATATACCTAGAACCTTCTGCATCTGAAACTTCCACATTTGATAATTTGCTCCATCATCTGCAAGGGGCATTATATCATAGAGTCAGCTTGAGCCTTGGGTGACCCTAGCACTAGTAGATGCAGAACCTGATGTGTTTGCACTTGTTGATGAGCCCAGTTGCCTGGACATTGATGCTGACACTCCAGAGGACATGTTCATAGGTTATTTTGGTGGTACCACATTCAAGTTTGTTGATACTGTAAAGGTTAGAGCTGCTCAGGGCTCATAACCTCTTGAGAGGAGGCTGAAAGAAAGGCTCAGACTTCTGTGGTAAGAAGGCTGTAATATTAACAAGCTAACCTGAAAGAAAGGCTTAAGGTAGAACATCAGTAAGGTAGCTATAGAGTTAATATAGTGAACACACCTCAGACTTCTGTGGTAAGAAGGCTGAGGTGCACAAGGAAAAACTAACTGCCTAAGTGCAAAGAATTATTATGTAAGCTTGTATGCTGTAAATAAACAAACACAGGGGACATATGTTCCAACATGCTCTTGTCTCTCAAAATTGTGTATGGCACCTCCCACAGGAGTACAAGAGGAAAGCCACCATGGTGAAAGAAATGTGGAAGAACACTATGCAGTCAATGTTGTCCTCAACTGTCTCAGCTCACATATCCAATGGCAGAAGGTCAAGCAACCCAGAAGCCTTGAATATTCCATCCACTGTCTTTGATGTTTAGATTTCTCCTGTCTGTGGCATGCCATGGCTTTTCATCTGACTATCATTGCAGGTATAAGTACAATGCTTTGTCCAGCCTTCACTTTGTTTGCTTTGCATACTCTTTCCCCCACCTACATACACTGGTTTTCTGAACATTCTGTGTGCATATGCATCCATTCATACATTCACATGCACTGCATGTTCTTGCAGAACCATGTGTGTAGTGCTGCATTGTAATCATCTGGACTACTGTACTAGTATAATGTCATGTGATGTGTCATATAATGTCAATGTGTGTCATTTTTGAAAATCTATACCCCTAGATTGTTGTGAATTTGCAAAGTATTCTCCTCAAGATTGTCAGATTCGACTTTGCAAAAATGAACTCCCTTGCAGCTGAGAAATTTCCCACATTCTCACCAAACATGGCATTTGATTGGCAGATGCCCTTCCCTTTCCTTTAGGGGTTGCTTTAGCTACAAGTGCAGTCTGTGCTTCAGATAGCTTGCATGATTGCTCCTCAATTAAGACTTGCATGGTTATAGAGTCAGTGGATAACTTGTTTTCAGTGGACATTAGGATGGTGCAGAGTGTAGAATAGGACTGGGGAAGCAAGATGACCATTGCAATGGCCACAAGTGAGTCATCTAGGGGTTGGCCAAGTGAAGTTAGGATTTGGCTTTTTTGCTTCATTGCATTTAGTTAGTTTTCCATAGGGGACTCCTCCATGAGTGTGCTACAGAACAACTCACCAATAAGGTAGGCAATTGTTTGTTTTCCTTTTCCTTTGTATTACTCACAGAGCTTGGTCCAGATTTCTGCTGCAGATGGTATGTATAATACCCCACTCAATTGTTTGTCCTTTAGTGTTAGGATAATGATAATCTGTGCATGTGCCTCCTTATTTCTCATCTCCCATTTGGCATGCTCCACTGGGTTTGCAGTGGCATCAGGAGCCTTTTCTTTTCCATCAACCACTGGCCAAAGTCCACAGAGATCTAACATGGTCTGGACATGTCCCTTCTAGTTCTGGAATTTTGATCCTTCATTGTCAAGGGACTTGACATCATAGAGTCAACTCAATCCTTGAGTCACTCTCACAGTTGAAGTCACTGTTGACAAAGATGCTCCTAGTTTCCCAGCAGTAGAGACTGAAGGGGGGTTGTTCAACATGGTCTAAGGTCTTTTCCTGTCCGTAGTTCCTCTAGCAGTTTGTGAAGAAGCTTTCAGATGGGGCTCATAACCTTTTATGAGGAAATGAAGTTCGAACAAGTGTGCCACTAAGAAAGAAAGGAATGTGCTCAGTCTTGAGTTGGTTGAAGACTATAATTAAACTAACCTAAGGAAGAAAGGAATGTACTAAGTAGCATCAGTATTATAGAGTAAATGGATGACCTCACCTCAGTCTTGAGTTGGTCAAAGACTGAGGTGCAAAGGGGAAAAATATTCTTCCTAACAGAGGCATATTACATAACCAGAACATGCCCACTGCATCAGGAAATTAACACTTTACTATTTTTGACCTTTTTGTGACTTTTTGGGAAGGAACCTACTATCTGTACTTTTTTTTTGACCATATACAGCATTTTGAAGAATGAAAAGAGAACAGAATCTATTGAGACAACTAAGTGATGATATATCTAAGCCAAGAAGACTAGAAAATATCTGAAAATTCAGAGATATTGAGCCATTGGTGTGATGCACACTGTCTGAGAGAAAAATCACAATATCTCTTTGGAAACTCCATCAATTTGAATGTATGTGGTATCTACTGAAAGCTATGAATTAGGTGGTTTGAACAAGGCCAAAATCAGCAAGAAAAGTGCAGCCATGCCTGCAGGACATGGGTAATGATAATAGATTCCTTCCCAAAAAGTCACATTAGTCACAAAAAGTCAAAAATAGTAAAGTGTTATTCTCCCGATGTGTAAACTCTCATTCTCCAACAAAAGCAACATTACACAGCCAGCAGAACACTTCCACTAGCAACTCCAACACAAAGATGTGGGGAACACAAAGGTATCGGAATTTGTGGTTTTATTGAGCAAAGTGAGTTGGAGGAGGGGTGGCCAGAAATGCAGCAGAGGACCTGCGCTAGGACAGGGTGAGTGCCAGAACGTCACGGCACTTAGTCTGTGACATACACGACTGTAAGAGTAGCGACAAGGTTGATGTTTGTTGTACGATCAGTCAAACGGGCCCTGAGCCCAGACCATTGCCTCTCGTTCTCTGGGATCGGGTAAAGATTTTCCAGCGAAGGCACGCCAGGTAAGATAAGGAAAATACCTGCACGCATGGGATAGGGAAGAACGGATGGACTGTTAGTTATATCACTCACACTGACGGAACCGTTTGACGACGGCAGGGACACGTCCGTGGTCAGAGTCAGTGGGGACACCAGTTATTAGTTTGTCTTTCTCCTTGCGTAAGGATCAAGACGTCGAGATCGGATCATGACGGGGGGGGGGGGGGGGGGGAAGTAGGCGGGTGGGAACTGAAGAAGGCACCCTTCATTCTCCCGTTTATATACTGCCTATGAGTTGTAGAGAGGCATTGGGCTCATAGTCAAGGGAAGACTAGGAGCGCCTGAGTGCATTGTACATGACACAGTGCAGCCAAGGCGGCCATAGCCGTTAGTATGGCGGTCGGGGGCAGTTGCCCAGAGTGAATCTCGTCACGCATTTCCTCAGCCCAAATGGCAAATGCCCCATAAACTATGCAGGCGGAACCAAGCCATGGGGGAAGATGGACTTTTTTTTCCGGAGAGGTTGATTGACTGTCTCAGAGATGTTAGCTGTCCTCCCAAAGTAAAAACTCGGTCACAACACAATCCGGAGAGTACACTGTTACATGTTTTTTTCTTCTTCTTCTGGTCTCCCGTGCTCCCGAAGGTCAGCAAATATTTGTTCCCATGGCGTGCACGCTGTGTCAAAACACGGTACGCTGAAATAAATTCGGAAGGCTAATCCATACCATCATTATTGGTTTGAGCCGTGGCTACTCTTGTGTACATGTGTTTGTCCCCGATCATTTCTGCTCACTGCCACACGCACTGCGCATCGCCTCCACATCCACGACAGCTAACCGCATTCAACAAACACTTGAACATATCAAAACGTATCTCCTAACTAACGTCATATCAAATGCTCACTATCACCTCACAGCATCTTCCCACCCGTGAAACTCCCTCCGGTAACGCGTTCCGCATCAGTATCCCCCTAGTGAGAGGCACGTGACAGACAGGATTGGCGAAGTGGAACCCGGTATTAACATGATTCGTTTTGCCAGGATATGTATGGGTGTATTGTTCCCCTTGACATTGGAGGGGATCTCACGTGCTTGGATTCCGGTACGTGTCTGCGAGTTTCATTTTTAATGTCAACCTTTGTTCACCTCAACTCTCAAGGCTATCACCCACTGGCACGAGCCAAGGTGAACCCAGAAAAATATGGGGACATTTTCGAACCCGTGAAGAAGAGAATTGCTGAGCAGACACCCAGAACATAATGTCACAACAGATGCTTACCAGCACTTCGCCCCATGCGTCAATCCGCTAAATTTCACATCCTCTCCCCAGTCAGTCTCGCGTTGCATGCTCTTGCAACTCAGTGCCGTCACGATGGTCCCGCATCTATATCCACCTAGTCAGGGACGAACGACAGACCCAACGTCGATGAAGCCGAACCTAGGAGTAACAGGAATTGCCTTTCAGGAAGTACATGAGGTGCGACGTGGTTAGTCAACATAGCAAAGCGTGGTACGGCGACGTTCGTTTGTCATCATACGCATCGAAGTGGCGAGAAGAGAACAATACGGCGGGCGATTTGATAGGTTGAGCTGACGAATCCTGCCGTTGTGCGTATGGGATTCACACCGTGCATATGCACAATTTTAATCTTCGTGTATGAACACTGCTATCCCGGTCCCGACCGAAGCGCTAGTGCGATCTGCGATGTCGATTTGAACACTCGAAACTAGTCCGAGTGTGTGCCTTGTCACAAGCCGTGATTGGGACTCTCACACGGCCGCCGTGTCGTTCATTCAGTGCAGTATAGCTGCGGACAAGCAAACTCAACGAATCCGGGGACTGAGTCCCTACGAGACCACGAACTATGGGTGGAAGAGTCAAAATTTTGACCGTCTCCAAAAAAATTCAATCATGCACAATTCACCATTCGAATCTTTTCCATTAATAGTGTGTGATTCTACCGAGGGAGTGGGGAGAACTAAGCAGATCCGAAGTTCGCAAAAAAATCAGCGAATTACCTCCTGAATATGGTAATGGGATTATGTCAGCGGGACCGTCGTGCTCACACTTGACTGGCGGCCGCCCCATGATTGGCAGCCGATAGTGACACCCCCTGCCTTTTTGTGGGATGGGAGATTAGCTTCGCCTCCTGACCTGTGCTCGTCATCTCCCCAGGTGGGCTATCCTATTTTTATAATGTTTTTCGTGTTTTCTTCCCACTGCATATTTTTAGGCACTGATCCCCACCTACATTCTTTGCAGTGTTTGCCCCTGATTGTGACTGTGGCTATTACTAAAATATTACTAACAGCCCTGTGAGTCTCCTCGAGCACCCGAAGCTGATTAGCAAAAATAAAGGGCCAGCAACGTACCAGTAGTGCACAACTTATCACAGCATGTCTTACTAGTGTTAATTCGGCACTTGTCTACCCCTAAGAATAGTGTATATAATGTCATTTTTCTACCTCCAGAATTTGGCCTGCCATAAATTTCGTGGGAAAACCTCCGGTGGAGAAGAGAAAACGGAACAAAAAATGGGCCCGCCTTACCATCACTGTCACATCACGTGACATTGGTTCTAAGCCCCTATTTTATGTAAGGGGGTTGGAGTGTGTATCAACGGCTGTGCGACGCCCGATGACAATCTTTCATCAGGGAGCTACGACTAATGCGTACGGTATAGAGCGGCATTAATGTTTCAGATACGCACGGTGATTCAACGGAGCGGCTCTTACTACAAAGAAAAGCCTATCAGGGATAAGAGTGACCTTCCCCCTCCCTGCCTCTCCCAAGTCAACATGCCGTCCTCTGGGCCAACGATTGCACAAGCCGAAGGTAGCAACCTTGGGAACTATATCGGACACCACTGACGAATCTAAAGTTGTCGGTATGGTCTTGCCCATTACTGCGACGGTGGTCACTTCATTCCGTCTGTTCGTGCGGACGCAACAACGCCGTCTCTGGCTGGACGATGCATGGGCAGCGCTTGCCATGCTATTCGATATCGGTTCTTTGGTAGTATTCTGGTTATATCTGCATGACTATGGTGAGGGTGTCCTCTTTCTTGACAGTGTGAGTTTCGCCGAACTCAGTGTTCTGATAGCTCGATATCCCCAAAGTTCAAGGGTGGCATTATATTATATGTGCATTCCTTTATCAAATCAGCATCCCCCCAGCATTCTCAAAAACATTTATAGAAACACCCAATTCTTCTATGCACTCGTTTGGTGCGATACAAATGCTCTCTCTCCAGTCACGAGTCATCTCAGAATAGTTGTAGGTTGTCCAGGATCTCGATATTATTCACGGTCATACGACTGACTTTCCCTGGCCCGCTAAGGAGATGGCTAATATGCACCGCCATCGCATTTATGGTTACATGGATGGTCCTTGGCGCGCAAATCTTTTGGACCTGTGAAGCAGAACCTAGTTGGAAATCACAGTCACGCCCTCAGTGCGATCTAGGTCGAAACGTTGCCATTACGTTGATAATCAGTGAGGCTGTTGGTTGCATCACAAACGGGATGGGACCGTCTAACTTGCTCCATCCAGCTGATGTGATCGGTGACTCGATCTTAATACTAGCACCGTTCCGTCTGATTTACAAAATTAAACTCACTGCGGCTCAAAAGATCCGACTTCTGTCTATTTTTTCGACGTCTGCTATTACCACTGCCGTCAGCCTCATCCACACATACTACGTGTACTCCGATGGTGGGCTGAAAGAAGCCATAACTGCTATAATTGAGGTATGATTCCGAGCCCTGTTAGCCATCCAGTATAGTGCGGACTCAGTCCTTTGTCTTTGTTTCACCAGTCATCAACTAGCTTGATTGTGGCAAACTTGAGCGTGGTTGTCGCCTTCCTCTTCCGCATCAGTACTGAAGATTCCTCAACCCCTGCTCCGCTGGAGTTCAAGTCCATAATTACCTTCGGCTCACAGCCAATTCGGACAAGAGAACAGCACGATCCTCCTTCACCTTCAACGGTGGTAGTTGGCATTGAGACCTCGACAATAAGACTGGTTGATTTCAGCATATCTTCCATACAAGCGGCTAGAGGAGACGGCAGTGATGCCGAAGCTGCATCCATTGAAACGCTTGATAAACCAGGTCTGTTCTATGAGGCTTGATGTGTTTGATATACTGTCATCTGCGTCCTTCCTATGGTACTTGTCACCTCTTTTTTGTTACTGGTTGAAAGATATTATGTGACCAGGTCGTGGGCTTTGATATCATGCAGTGATATCGCCTTCGCCGGGACGCCAACGAACTTCATGTACATCCGGGCAAGCGTGCTGGCCCTGCCGAGCATATCCCAGGCAAAAACAATTTCTGCGGCGTCAGAGACTCGGAGATGAGTAGAGCAGGAATGATCTAGCCGAGCCAATGTGGATTATGTCACTGTAGATGTTACAGTTGGGCAGTTTCATCGATGTTGCCCGCAGTGCAAAAAGAATACGTTAATGGGGCCCAATCGCGTGAATCATCTCTCCTCAGGCGACTTTTCACCTCGATTGATACGCCATGAACTAACACATCGCTTTGATTGTCTAGTACCCCCGGTCACGGACGTCCTTGGTCTGGTACATTGAGGGCCAACACCTAGTTAGCGCACTCACTCCGATCACGCAACTACAAGCTACACTGCAAAACACTGCACCCACTCAGGAACATGAATGACACCCCAATGCACCATTAAGCGTCTTCCCCTGGACAACGGCTCCCAGGATACGGAAGGCCATTTACAGTTGCCACAGCACACCCTTCATGCTCCGTAACCTGCTGCATTATTGATCTCATCGTTTGGTCGGTTGATAGGAGCACGAACTCCCGATGCATCTTGTTTTCATTGAAAATAGTTCCCGCGAGCTGGTATCGACACTACACTTTGGTGGGGATCGTGGGCCGAAGCTACATTAACTCGAGTCGCTTGCTTTGCAGCCAGTGGCATATCATTTTCAGAGAACGTAAGCCCCGTTCGCTATGGGAAGAGTTGAGCACACACCCAGAATACAACGTCGCAATGGTTGCTCACCATCGCCTCTCAAGATTTATTAAACCCGCCCATAGGGTCTGCTAGTCAGAATATACATAAGACCCGAGGTATGAATTTGGTCAAAGTAGTAAACAAAGGCCCATGGCGCGCCTTCCATCACACATATGCGTTAAAGTGGTGATAGAAAGACGAGTTGGCAGACACTCGATGGCTTATATCAATGAATTTATACGTATTTCACGTTTTTGATGTTTTTGACATTCCTCTCGGTCAGCCAACTGGTCTGTGCGAGATTGACAGCAATGGAACGATAGACGGACTCAGAGAACGAGCACCGTAGACGACGTGTGTGCAGACTTTCAGCGCACGTGTTGCAGATTCTGCTATTAAAATCGTTCGGGCTCTCGGGGTGTATACTGCATCGAAAAACAGTGAATCTAAATGAGGCTAATCCGTACCATCATGCAAATCCTGTCGTGCAGAGAACAGGTCAGTTATGTCCGTGTATATTTCAAATGGTCTCAGGCCCTCGGCTACTTGTGTACTTGTGTTTGGCCCCTCGGTCTGGCTCACCCACATCCACGTGTACTAACAGCAACCAAGAAGTACTCGGGTACAACAGAATGCATGATTTGCAGAGGAGTTCAGAACATCATTTCCCTGTTTCAATCACTCTGATCTGCCATTCATCTTTGCTGCGTCACGTAGGTCACCACGCACTTGTAGGTCCATCACCGCAGACATTGAATGGATCCTCCGAAAGTAACGACATTGCTCTGCTGATCACCTCCATCCGCAGGCCATCTAGGCACGGGCTTTTCTATCCGTCTTGAGATAGCAAACTGACTGTAGCGAGGTCAGCAGTTGCATCGACGTTACCCACCCTCTCGGTCAAAAGTGGAATACAGGGCTAGTCATGTGAGTTATCGCTATATCTCATAGGACGATTTCTGACCTCTATTGTACCAGCACACTACTGAAATTCACCAGGATTCGCGTCGATGCAAGGCATCCGAAGTTCCCGCCTCTGATCAGGACCTCTCTCTGTGGAAAGAAATTGAGGTTGCTTCCTTTCATTGAACGGTTCTCTTTCTTACTCATCATGAGCGCCATCGTTCACATATCCCTCACTTCTGTAAGTTCGACCAGCTTTTATGGGCCTGGTCTTGGGCAGACAATCCTACTGAGCTCCCCTCCGTTGGCAAGGGGAAGGTTATACTCATGGATATCTTAGTAAACGAGTCGTGTTACTACCAGGTGATGGTTCCCGAGTGCTCGGCCCGTTGTGTGTCTCTGACTGGGGATAGAGTTGTGGAATGCATCGCGAAAGGATATTACGCAGATGGGAAGAAAATTGGGAAGTACTTCCACAAATTCCAACCTCCAACCTTTCCAGAACCTCTCCACCGATTCTAATCTCAACTTCAATTGCTCACTTAGTATGCCCTTTCAATGCCCCAAAGCTCTATTCGCTGGCATCCGGTGCATTGTCTGCTCTGGTTACGGAAACATAATCAGGTTAATTCATCCATCACTCAGGACCCTTGAATACGTACCGTGCAACTTTCAAATTTCCATCTCCACGTTGGGCGACACCTGGCACCCATAACGAAATGCAAATGTGATTGAGTAAGCGCGAGAGCAAAGCGCCTCCTCCAGACTAAGTGCAGTAATTGCAGCTCCTGATCAGCGGTGTCAGTTTCCTGCGCTCTATCAGCTACATCGGGACGCGAACTATACTTCTTACTCGGTCAGTCTCGAACCCCGTCAGAGACCATTGCTGGAGGAACCATCCCTTTCGAATCAGGAAGAAAGACCTGGGATATCTAAGTGGCGTCGCGCACAAGATATTTCTGAAGTGATATCGAAATGGACAAGGAGAATCTTGGGAGTGGGCTTCTGTCAAGAAGACGCCGCTTATACGAGTGTGTGCCAATAATTACTTATATTCTCCCTCGTCTTCCACCAACAATTCCGGGCAGGTGTTCGCAATCCTGTATTGCGATCGTTCGCAGTTTTGTGTTCAAGCTCTGTCTCATGTTTGTAGTGTAGTGTTCGCAGTGCTGTATTACGGTCATAAAATTCTATTTCTCTGATCGCAGTCTCACATGTCTCGTGCTCGCATGTCGTCTAAAATGTGTATAAGCAAGCCGCCGGGCGGCACCTCCCGAGTCACTTAGGACGGGGATTATTTGGAATGATGACCACCATAGGGAGAATGCAGATGACAGAATATATATATGTATAACACTTCTATTGAGTGTCGCAGAAATCACCTGGCTGAGCAAGCGTTTCAAGGGATACAGTTTCGGCATCGTCGCTGTCTCTTCCAGCAGCTTGCTTGGGAAACGTGCTGGAATCATCAATTTTTATTGTCTTGGTCTCAATCGCAACCACCATCGCTGACATTGAGAGAGGATTTCGCGGTGTTCTTTTCCGAATTGGCTGTGAACCGAACGTGATTATGGACTTGAGCTCCAGCGGAGCGGGGGCTGTGGTTTCTTCAGTGCTGATGCGGAAGAGGAAAGCGACGACTACGCTCAAGTTCGCCACAACCAAGCCGACTGATGACTAGCGAAACCAAGGACTGAGTATGCGCATTGCACTGGAATGGCCAACAGAGATTAGAACCATACCTCAACGATAGCAGCTGCGGACTGACTCAATCCACCGTCAGAAAGCACATAGTACGCGTGTGTGAGGCTGACAACAGTGGTAACAGCAGATGCCGAAAAAATAGACAAAAGTCGAATCTTTTGAGCTTTATTGAGCCGAACTTTGTAGATCAGACGGAATGGAGCTAGTATTAAGATTGTATCACCAATCACATCGGCTGAATGGAGCAAGTTAGACAGCCCATCCCGTTCGTGACGCACACAACACACTCACTGATTATCTGCGCAATGGCAACATTTCTACCTAGATCGCACTGAGGGCGTGGTTGCATTTTCCAACCAGGTTCTGCTTCACAGGTCCAAAAGACTTGCGCGAAAAGGATCATCCATGTAACCACAAATGCGATGGCAGTGCGTACTAGCAATCTCCTCAACGAGCCAGGAAAAGTCAGTCGCACGACCGTGAACAAAATTGAGATCCTGGACAACCTACAAACATTCTGAGATGGCTCGTGACCGGTGAAACGTGATTATTGTCTCACCAAACAATTGTACAGAAGATCTGTGCAACCCTATAAAATATTTTTGAGTGTGCTGGGATGCTGATTTGTTAAAAGAATGCACATATAATACAACGCCACTCTTGTATCTTGGGGATATCGAGCTATTGTCGTACAGAGTCAGCGAGACTTGCTCCGACAGAAAAGACGGCGACCTCACCGTAGTCATCCAGATAAAGCGAGCCTACTACCATGTAAACGACATTGAGTACCATGGCAAGCGCTGCCCATGCATCGTCCAGCCAGAGACGGTGTTGTCGTATGCGCAGGAACAAACGGAATGAAGTGACCACCGTCGCAATGACGGGCAAGACTATCCCCACAACTTTAGATTCGTCAGTAGCATCCTAAACAGTTCTTAAGGTCACTACCTTCGGTTTGTTGAATTGTTGGTCCGGAAGACGACATGGTGGCCTGGTGGCCTGGGAGAGGTAGAGACAGGGAGGGAGGCTTACCTTTCTATCTCTGATGCTGTAACAGGAGCCACTACTGGTTTCACAATGCGTGTCCAAAACATCAACGCCGCTCATACTGCACGCATTCGTCTAGCTCCCTCCCCTGCGATCAGAATCATGATGGATGATCATAAAGATGGGATGAGCGGGCCAATCACGTGAAGATCTTCCGGGACACGCTGATAATTCCGCGGACTCCTCTTCAATTACGTAACTGAATCTACGCGGAAGCCGCCGGAAATTTTTTGTGACCAAGGCTCCAAGCATTGTTGCCCTGGGCTTTCGTCAATCATCGTTGAGAAGCTGTTCCCAGACCATACCCTGCTGGACAATGCCTATCTTGTAAGTTGCTTGCACTTACCCGTCCACGGTATCGAGTCCAGTGTATGTGCGCTACGAATTGCGTGGTCACGATTGGAGTGGAAAACCAATGAACGCAGAAGTACTCAAGTTCATTCGCTACGCTTAGGAATTTTGTCACTGGTGGCTAATTTTGGGAAATTGAGGAAATGCACTGAAGGACTCTTGAAGGTATGTGCGGCATTGGCATTAATTACAACGATGGGAACTCGTGATATTGAGCCACCCTTTGGCCAGCATTATATATCTGGCCCTCCCATCTTACGTCGGTCCCTATTATGAAACAACCTAGGAAGCCAATGATTGTACCGATCAGTGAAGCACTGATGGACCCCAACGCTGCGACGGTAGTGGACTCGAAGATTAAAATTTTGCTCCGTACTTGTGGACCTTGACAGTGTTTTGGACTATCCTACCACCACTTCATGGGTCGGTTCCGGTGCTTATATTAATAAAACGAGCGATAACAAGACCACAAAATCCTGCTGGCCTTTATGCCGCTGGCAAAGTTGGATTGTCACCTCTTAATTTATTCGCATGAAGATGCCCGGTTCGACGACGAGGTCCCTACCGAGAGAAAGCGCACTCTCCTCGGCCCACCCCGAACATTGAGAACGTTCCCGTATTATGATCACTCTAGTTCCGCTGCCCATTTAACTGCATCACTCAGGTCACGACACACCTGTGGATTTTCCGTTAGAAGTGGGTACACCCACATAAATGCCGATACGTGATACACCTGAATCCCACGAAGCAGTGAGTTCCCCGGACTGCTACAAGTTCGACGAGACAGCGGCGGGCAAAAATTAAACAGGACGAAAAACAGGAGAGACAAAGAATAAAGACCCGCCCTGCCTACCCTGACACCATCGATCCCAACGCTGCACTGACCCAGATTCGTCTCTGCTGACTCGCTATCCATGAACATGTTGAAGACAAAGACGCCACACGTGTCCAACGTCCGAGTTACCTCATTCTCCGACCATGTTGATTCGTATGGCCCACTACTCCAGGCTCTCACTTCCTTGGAATCCCCGAGCTGTAAGGAACACCGGCAGTGGAGGCGACTGGCAAAGTCGTGCGAGAGCCTATCAAACAACGCACGAGAAGATCAAAATAACTCACTACAATAGTATGCTGAGCGTTATGCATATTAGTCCGTTGTCAGTGCTTCAGCTATGATGGTAGGCACATTGTAATATGCAAAGATCAAACCTCCCTCTTGAGTACTGTGTACTGGCACGAGTTTTGCCAGCGCCTCAAACCATGTAACAGCGGGTATAGTAGGTACCCACAGATCTCGTATATCTCGTGTCCGAGTACTATCACTTGACCGGTGTTGCAAAATGACACAGTGTTGCAAAACGCTAACTACACCACACCACACTTCAATCCAAGCTGCATAATTGTACGTAGGGCACGATATACTATAGACCTAGGGGGCTGTACACTTTTTTTAAAAAAAACTGCACCTGTGGACGAGGGGAAATCAATATACTGCTTAAAAAGGGTCCTTTTCAGAATAACTCACCTGGGCTGAAATCAAATCACCTCAGAAAATCATGAAATGCTATCTGGGGACTCTTAAGACACTTCCCTGATTCCTGAAAGAATTCTGAGGCCAACAAGAAGGATCCTTCGATTGTAATTGTTGTTGCGATAATGTGATGCAAGAGCGTGACAATACAAGCGGAGCAATGGTGGAGTAACATAATCAGCCACCGCCGACTAAGTCAGTTCGGAGTATCAGCGCGTCGGAGTTACAATGTAAGGTGTGACATTGTGTGACAGCCCTCAGTTTCGCATTTGCAACTCTGTATCATTTTGTGTCCAAAAACCGGCATCTCTCTGGCATCTTCTACACCACACATATCCTCTTTATTTCTGTCATAAGTTTCTATGTACGTGTCCCTCCACGTGTCCATGTATTTTGTAGTGTAATTACCAATGTGATTGTGTAGTTCTGAAGCCATGCTTTCTGATGTTGCAACACTCACTGCGGAAACAGGTTTTTAATCAGGTTCGGGGATAGTCGGGTTAGTAATAATAGTTGTGCTATATGTCGAGGGAAGCCAAAGTTAATAATACCTTTGACTATAGTAGCTAAGTGTTCTTGTTTCCAAGCATTGTCCCAACTCGATTCACAAACTTATCACCATGGTAATCCTGACAATGCAGATAATATTCAGATCAGATTTGAGTGTGGTTATAGACTATGATATTGAGTCGCATCATATTAATATTGATGATCCTCTCGACTTCAGTTGTGCTTTTCAGAATAGTAACATCAGATTATATTCGGCATGCTCACTATGATGACTGCTTTGAAAATGCTTTCCTGCCCCTGGCACCCCCCAAAAAAAAGTGTCCCACCTGTGTGCTTACTCACACTCACCTCCTTTGCAAGTACTTGGTGTTTGTACTGTGGTACAGTACTATGTATTCCCAGAGACAACCAAGTGGCAGCATGCAGCCTGGATTGCAGTCCTCGATGAGTCAAGAGGGTGTGACATGCAGGCATCCTCATGTACTGCAGACCCAAATGATGCCCTCGGGGCATTCCCAACATGGCCTCAGACCACAGAGAAACACGAGTGGTGGCACACAGCCTGGATTGCAGTCCTCAATGAGTCAAGAGGGTGTCGCACACAGGCATTCTCATGTACCACAGACCCAAATGACACCCTCGGGGCATTCCCAACATGGCCTTCCATCTATACACAGCAGACTCAACAATCCATTCACATCCAGGCCTGCTGCTCAATGAAGGGACCACGATGGTCCATTGGTCGGTACAAATCACACCTTTATTTATACTCCACTCACTTCATGCTTTGATTAAAGCTCTTTTTGCCAGAATTTTCCTTCCTGCATCAGCTCCATGACATGATGGATCCCACAAGTCCCATCAATTCACTTGTTCCACAAGAGGGGTCATCTTACGACTATCAAGGAAGGGGTCAGTCAAACCAACTGCTCGAATTTACTTACCATAGCAGCGAGGGCACCCATAACCATATGTCCTTCTCATATGCCGGTGCATCTTCCCATGGTCAGTCAGTTGGTCAAGGGCAAAGTGAAACTCCTTTGGAAGATTGTCAGAGTACTCTGCACTCAGCATCCTGCTCCCGAAGTGCATCTTACCTGATGGAAGAGTCTGATTATGATCGCATGAGCAACCAGAGTCTACATATGATGGTTGCCCAGCTAACAGCCAATCTGAAATGTCTCAGTGAAGCGAACACTAACCTGGAGGACAAACTTACCAATATCAGAGAAGAGAACAAGTCCATCGTCTCTCGTCTTAATGATGTCGAGGAGGTCCTTGCAGAGCTTCAAAGCAAAGTCATAGGTCACAAAGGGGCAACAAAGACATGTTCAAACAATCATGTAGCTCTCAAGGTATGTATCAGCGCTCTGTTCTTGCAATTGTATGTCAGTACTCACTTGGCACCATTAATTTTGAGTCCATTCTCCAACCATTGTTCTGCCAGTTGTGTGGAATTGACTGTGATGGTAAAAAGCAGAATCATGTTGCAGCCCTCACTGCTATCAGGCCATTTGACAACAAACAAGCCTTCAAGGTGACAAATGAAGGTGTACAGATTTGGCACCCACACTGGCTTGGCAATGTCAATGACGAGGTGAATGCTAGATTTATCAGAGAAGTTGCCAAGTGTGCCTTTAATAATGAAAAGGTATTCTTTGTAGCAATTGGGATTAATCATGTGTGCTCACCTGTGACCAGCAGAGTCAGAGGGAACTCAGACAATAAGGGCATGCGACATCTTTTATTATTTTCCTGGCCAGTGATAAGTCCCTCTTGAATTTGGGCCCATCTTTCCTGAATAATGATGAGTACATGACAACAGAAACGACAAAGTTTACTTACACACAACAGTTGCATACTCACAGTATCAAATGTCTCCAATCCAGCAAAACTGTCTGGGGTAAAAGTATGCCTAATGGAGGGGCCAGAAACTTGCGTGGGAAGAGATGAGACTGGTATTTCCGAAGTAATCTTCTAGAAAGAGTTGTTAATACTGAGAAAAAGAACGGTTCATGAGTCACAACTTACCTTGGCAGCCACAGTTGGGGTTCCCTCCACACTTTCAGGCTCAGTTTCACTATTATCAATGGCAGGGATGAGAGGTGCAATAGGCAGGGCAGTACCACCCTCAGGGTTTGTCTGGCCTTTGTCAGCAGGCAAGAGGTGGTCTGGAATACATCCAAACGATCCTTGCATGGCAGGAAGTGGCTCGACGTTGACGAGTAGAGGATCCTATGTAATACCATCAGCAAGGATATGAATTACACAATGACTTACTGAGACGGCTGAAACATGGGCATCTGCAGACCCCAACTTAACCCCACCAGTACCAATGTTAGCACCAAAGTCGACAACACACACTTGAGTTGCATGAAAGGTATCATTGCCAAGTTCTGGTGACATTGTCATTAGGGAGATTTCTATGGTCTGGTGTATGGCCGTGAGTGGAAGACACATGAACAATAATTAGCCACATGTACCACAGGGCCTTGGGAGTTTGGCTTGAAAGAGAGCATAATGTTTTGGATGCTGGTTGGGACATGAAGTCGAAGGATGTGTGGCCTACATTTGATGACTGTCAGGGGACCAACAAACTCGATTTCATTGGCTTGTGAGGTTGGAACCATCTGGTTAGCATCGATATGGAACTTTTGGAGGTGAGTAGATAGGCTGGAGGACTCAAGTACCACATACCTTGGGTTGGTTCATGGTGTACATGGCAAACTGGTGAACTTGGAGACCAAGGAAAATTTTTGCAAAGTCCATTATTTTTCCTGAGGGGTGCAAGGGTGGCAAGAGCCACTCTTCTGATGGTATTATAGTTGGACTATGGCCAATGGAGTCGAGCATAGTTGGGGTGGCAAAATGCATGTATGAGAGGTCAGGCTATTGGTATATTGCCTATATTCGGATCTTGCCTACATCGGATTATTTGGATATGTTACTCAAAAATCGTTGAGTCGGACTTTACTCAGACTAATAGCTATATCTTACAAAAAAAAATCAAGGTCGGATTATCTACATTTGGAGAATCTGGTTATGCCCCCTGCTAAAATTTCGTTTCCGCAGTGACTGGTCAAGTGATAGTACTGTTTATGCAAGAGCTGCGGTGATTAAATATATATATATGTATTTGAGGTAAACTATATAATTATTCAGTATCATGCAATGCTAAAATCTATGGTGACGCTGACTTCTGAGCATAGAGGACGTGGAATACTATTTTCGATCCCGGTGTACTGTCCCATTCTCTTTGCATCTGCTCAATAAGTGAATCAAAATCAGGAGAAGACATAATGCCCATCACGTCCACGACCGGATACTTCATCGCTTTGTAGACTCCGATGAAGCTGTCTCGTGCTTCTATACCATCCTGCCCTGCCCAGCTCCCCAAATCGATTTCGTAGATCATGGAGTTGATCTCAACAAACCCCGCGTCGTGCAGCAGTGCTGGAATTTTCTCGGCACACTCAAAAAGTAAACCTCGCTTCTCGAAAGTATGCCTGAGAATCACGTGGTGTCTGTCGGTCACATCTCCAGAACGGCAGTGGTTAGTTTCCACAAATTGAACCCAGCCTCCAGGCGCCAGCACTTTGTAGATATTGTTGATGGCAGTCTTCCAGTTTTCGGCGGATAATGCAGCTATCAGCAAACGCTGGTTCACCAGTGTATAAGATCTATCCGCCCATTCTCCTTGCAACCGCAGTATGTTGCCTTCAGTGAGGTGAATTCTCGACTTGAGGTCGACGTCAAGGATGGGGAAGAGATCCGACGTGATGTCGATGCCATAATAGTGAGCAGTCCTGAATGCATCATGACAATCCAAGGTCCAACAGGCTGTAGCGCGTTCTGACATTAGGGTTCGCTGAGCAAGTGAAAAAGTGGCCTTACACACCTGTGCCAGTCCCGACATCGAGTACCGCATCATCCGAACTGAGCGTAAAGGGAGCAAATACAACATTTCCGAATGCCTTCTTCAGCACACGGTTTTGTAGGTTTAGTCTGTGAGCCTGATAAGTCTGCATATGGCACGTAGAACGCTTCCCGCCACCTACCTCTCACTCTCTGGTTTGTCGGAGGGCAGAAGGTATCGAGAAGGCGAGGCTAATTTGCCGTTAGTCATGTTGCTAACTGCTGATGACTATAGAGTGTAAGCGTGAAAGACGCCATAAAGTGGAGATAAAGATGACATACACCAGACATGTAACTTAGGGATGAAAGTCTGGATAAGAATTTACTGTCGGTTTTGGGGTAGCTCGTGCAACCACCATTTAACTTGTTCGGCGACCAATCCAAGGACTAAAAGCACAACAGCATCATTCATTCCGATCCCGCGGCAGGGAAGTGCGGTGCATTTGGACTAATGAATGAACAAGGACTTAGCTGAAACATTTTCAGTGACATCAAATTTTCTCGCCCGCATTAAAGTACAGCCAAGACATAGCTTGGATAGGCCGTGCCCATATCCCTGTGGTGCTCATGAACGTTCCCGACGGACTTCGGAGGTTAGAGTTGGGCACAGGTTTAGTGAACTACTAAACGACTGAGTCCGCAGTACCAGACCGACAAAAAAGTGTGGTTCAAATTTCGATGCACAGTACCACCACGGGTATGAATGTACCCATTTAGGTCTAGGCTATATACAGAAAGAGCCAAGCTGCTCGAAAGCACTCACACACGGTGTACGTCAGCTTCGACGCAATCGGTTGAACTTGGGCAATTCATTTCACGAAAGTACTCCGCATTTTCAAGCATGAGCGTGCTTCCTGGACTTGTACTCTTCCGCTCCACATCGGACCAGCGATCAGCGGCTGGATCATATATGCAAATCTATATTCCTCACAAGTGTTAGTTCGTCTTCGACTTGTATGACCAAACATTGGGCTCGCACTTGCTCGAGTCGAAATTGTGTCGAGGTCGCCAATGGACGAGGACTTCACGCCAATGCAGTGCAGAAAAGGATGATCAATCAATCAATAAGGCTAGGGGCCTGAGACTAATGCTGGATCACGAAGGCCGTCCGACTACGTCGCCGTTTCGGACTTGAGTATATTCTCATGGCACAGCATATCCTTGTTTCTCGGTCGCACCTACCACTCGCCAGTTTATACAACAAAAACGGAAACAGGATACGAATGATTCAGTGAAGACAGTGACATTCAACCAGCTGCAGGCGGTGAACGACGCAGTTAATAGATACAGCCCTCCGCTGACCCACTGCCAAGCTGATTACTGCCTAACCAATCTCGCAGCTACCACTGTCGTGATGTTCATCTGGTCAACTAGTCGGTGTCAAGCTGTTGTGCTGTACTTACTGCATCCCGCACCCTTATGTACATTGCAGTACGCCGTGGATTGTGGTCGAGATGGATTAATGGTAGTACATATGTGGCCACTTGGGTTTACTCATGCGCGGATCCGGATGCTGATAAATCAACACTACAAAGCTTTCTCACACTAGAACCCTAGTACTGCGCTGGTCGCTGGTTATACGGTGCACATCTGTGAGTATACTAACTTCTTTAGGTATGACTACTTGGGCATCTGTATCGCCGACCGGCTCGTAGATATAATCCGATAAACCGCCGCGCACCACTCCCACTTACTCGCAATTCAGACATCTCCACGAACCTTGGACCATGGCAGCAGAGCCGTATCCCGCTCTTGTCGTCCCGGCCGTCGGGAAGCATACGGCGACTGTTGTCTTCGTGCATGTGGGTGTCATCATCAGATGCCAACTGCATCCCAACCTAATATGATCCACAACTTTTCCTCGGATGTAGGGCTTAGGTGATTCGGGCCAAGGATGGAAAGATGCTGCAGAGACACTGGGAAAGAATCCTTCTCTGCAGCACATCAAATGGATCCTTCCTCATGCGCAGAGCAGGCCTGTGACCGTCAGTAACGGCAAGGAAATACCCGCCTGGTTCGACATCTGTCTGCATGCTTTGAAGGGGTCTGAAGAACAGCACGAGCACGTCCAAGTGACCCCATCGGGCGAACAGAAGATATCATGTAATGGATTCGAAGATCGTGAGGGAATACTGCGATCCGTGCAGATCCTCAACGATATCATCAAGCAGGAAATTGAAAGTGGACTGGATGCAGGAAGGATCGTATTGGGAGGATTCAGCCAAGGGGGCGTTTTGTCGCTCCTGACTGGGCTGACAACGGATCATAAATTAGGAGGTGTGATCGCACTGAGCGCGTTACTGCATCTTCAGAAAGAGCTCAAGGATGTAAGTGATGGCTATCCAAAATTGATGATGGCGAAGTCAACGCAACTTGATGCACACTCTTTACAGATGATCACTCAACACACACGTTCTCTACCAATCCTCTGGGCCTTCGGGGATGTAGATCCGCTCGTGCCCATCAAAGTGGTAGATCAATCTGTCGATTTCCTCACGAGTTTTGGGATTCCCCGCTTAAGACGGGAAGAACTCGGAAAGCCTGGTGTTGCTTTCGTGACCTATACTGGACTTGGACATTCTTCCTCTGAAGACGAGTTGCGCGACATGGGAGAATTCATGAGCCGTGTTGTTCCTGCGGATACTGTCTAGTAGAGGGGTTGGTGACAATTACTGCAGACTTCAGTGTACCTTATAGGACGTAGTAGAACAGCATGTAAGTTTTCCAGATTAACGCAACATATTAGTGGTACAGGCTCTGGATGAGTATGACTGCGGCCGCCAGCGAAGCTCGTTTCCAAGGTCATCAAACGTAATACTTACATAAAACATTAACAAGCTGCGTATGTGTGCATTCGGCGACAGCAGCGGCATTCGCCTCACACCCGAACAACTGTTCACTATATAATAGTGAATGACAAACCACCTATTTCGAGCATTCATTTACAGTGACTAACTGATGGTTTGATTGCTGCTCTGCTCATTTCGACCGACGGCAGCAGCCCTGCTGTGCCAAAATGATCTGTTGCTTGCAAAATCTCTGACTGATTTTCTTTATTCTGTGGCAGTGAATGCACATGCAAAATCTATTCAATGACTCCAGGCGGAGGCTGCGTAACTAGCGCCCAAATCCTCTCCTACTCGGCCATTACCGTTCGTTACACGCTAGGTCTGTTCTATGGAAGTGCCGCAGATAGGTATCTAATGCGCCGTCTTTCCTCCGATAAAAGAAATAATTTCAGCCACGACACGGCTTTGATTATCGTGAAACACTGCATGGCCGCTCCGTGGAATTACAATGACTTTCTTGTTCTCAAAGAAACAACCGACTTCATTGACAGCGACCTCGTTATCGAGCTGGGCATCTTCGTGCGAATAAAGAAAAAGAAGTGGTAATCCGGCCTTACCAGCGGCATAAAGGCCAGCAGGATTTTGTGGTCTTGTTATCGCTCGTTTTACGCCCTCCCCAGAAATATAGGCGCCGGAACCGATCCATGAAGCGATGGTAGGATAGTCCACAGCATCAGGGTCCACAAATGTGGAGAGGACAAATTTAATCTTCGAGTCCATTACCGTCGCAACATCGGGGGCCATCAGTCCTTCACGGATCGGTGCGATCGTTGGCTTCCCTAGCTCTGCCATAATGGGGCCGATGTAGGGTAGGGGGGCCGCGTATATAATGCCGGCCAGAGGGGTAGGACTGATGTGCTGGCAAACGTCCGTTGCGACTGTGGCTGGGGAGGTCTCTCAATATTGCGAGTTCCCGTTGTTATAATGCTAATGCGATACATACCTCCAAGACTCCTTCAGTGCATTACCCAAAAGTTAGTCATAAATGACAAGCGTAGAAACCACCCGTCACTGACCAACCAAAGAGATAAGGCTTATTCAGATTAAAAGCATCCGCGACGGCCATGAAATCCTGAGCGTAGCGAATGGACTCGTGCGCCTCTGCGTTCACTGGTTTTCCACTCCAGCCGTGACCGCGCAAGTCGTAGCGCACCTACACTGGACTCAATATCATAAAGGGGTAAGTGCAAGCAACAACAACTTACAAGATAGGCATTATTCAGCAGGGTCCGGTCTTGGAACAGCTTCTCAAAGACGATTGATGAAAGTCCAAGGCCATGAATGAAGATAATGCTTGGCAGCGAAGAGTTTCCGACGGCCTCCGCGTAGATCGGAGTTCCGTCATCTGAGAGGATACGCTTGCAGATAAGGCCTGGAATAGACATGATATGTACACGATAGCTCAAACAACAGGTAATGGGGTAAGGTGGTTTATATCGTGTACTTAGATCAGCGGCGGTGTGGCGCTAACGAAAGTCGACGCAAAAGTCCGCAGAAGTACGTGCTTCCCGGACCGGTTCTGAATCTGGACCATGAGACTGACGAATCGACCGAATTCATCGGCTGATCGATGGTCGGTAAGAGAAGCAGATCTCGAGCGCTGGGGTATAGTGACTTTACATAATCATCAGTCATGATTCTGATCGGAGCGGAGGGGACTACACCAAATACGTATCTAGTACGAGTGGCGTTATGACCCTTCGGACACGCGTGATGTTTCAATCAAGAAACCGGTGGAACCAGATGTAGTTCTTGCTACAATAAAGCGTATGGTGTTCTAAGCCTCCCTCCCCGTCTTTCTCTCCCAAGCAAACATGTCGTCCGCTGGACCAACAATTCAACAAACTGAAGGTAGCGACCTTGAGAACTACTGAAGACGCCACTGATGAATATAAAGTTGTCGGTTTGGTTTTGCCTATCGCTGCGGTGGTGGTGACTTCATTCCGTTTGTTCCTACGGATGCGACAACGCCGTCTCTGGCTGGACGATGCATGGGCAGCGCTTGCCATGGTATTCAATATCATTTTTTTGGTAGTAAATTGGTTGTATCTGGCTGACTACGGTAGTGGTGTCTTTTTTTCTACCAGAGTGAATCTCACTGACTCTGTAGTACAATAGCTCGATATCCTCAAGATACAAGAGTGGCGATGTATTATATGTGCATTCTTTTAACACCCCAGCATCATAACATACTCAAACATTCTATAGCGTCGCACAGTTCTTCTATGCAGTAGTTTGGTGGGATAGCAATCTTGTCTCTCCAGTCATGCACAATCTCAGAATGGTTTTAGGTCGTCCAGAATCTCAATTTTGTTCACCGTCGTGCGACTGACTTTACCTGGCTCACTAAGGAGATGGCTAGTACGCACCGCAATCGCATTCACGGTTACATGGATGATCCTTCTCGCCCAAGTCTTCTGGACTTGTGAATCAGAACCTGGCTGGAAAACGCAACCACGCCCTCAGTGCGATCTAGGCCGGAACGTTGCCATTGCGCAGATAATTAGTGAGTCTGTTGGTGCAGCACGAACGGGACGGACCATCTAACTTCACCCAGCTGACGTGATCGGTGACACGATCTTAATACTAGCACCATTCCGTCTGATCTACAAAGTCAGACTCACTAAGGCTCAAAAGATCCGACTTATGTCTATTTTTTCGACGTCTGCTGCTACCACTGTCGTCAGCCTCACCCACGCATATTACGTATATTCTGATGGTGGGCTGAAGGAAGTCATAGCTGCTGTGGTTGAGGTATGGTTCTGAGCCTCGCTAGCCGTTCCGGTACAATGCAGACTCAATTCTTTGCTTCGCCAGTTATCAGTTAGCTTAACTGTGGCGAACTTGAGCGTAGTTGTCGCTTTCTTCTTCCGCATCAGCACTGAAGAAACCACAACCCCTGCACCGCTGGAGCTGAAGTCCATGATTACCTTCGGCTCACAGCCGATTCGCAAAAGACCACAGCGCGATCCTCTCTCATCGTCAACAGTGGTAGTCGAGACTGAGACCCAGACAATAAAATTTGATGATTTCGGCACATCCCCCATGCGAGCGGCTGAAGGAGACAGCAGTGATGTATCCCTTCAAACAATTGCTAAGCCAGGTCTGCACTATGACGTGTAATGTGTTTGATATGTACTGTCATCTGCATTCTCATTAGGGTACTTGTTGTTCTCCTTTCTCTACTGCCTGAATGATATTCCTGGTCTTGAATAACCAGACCCTTCAGTCACATGGGCTTGACATCATAAAATTTATATCCAGTGTCATTCCCTTCGCCCGGAGGCCAACGAATGACATATACATCCTGGCGAGCACGCTGGCCCCGCCAAGCATATCCCAGGCAAGTATAATTTCCACGACGTCAGGGTGATGGGTGGAGCAGGCATGAGCTAGCCGAGGCGCTCCGGGTTGTCCCGCCGGAGATACTCCAATTGGACGGTTTCATTGATGTTATCTGGCGGAGGAAAAAGAATATGTTAGGCCCAATTGCGCGAACCCCCTCAGGCGACTTTTCATCTCGTATGATACCCGTGCACTAACACACTGCTTCAATTCCTCCGTACCCCTGTTTACGCATGATCTTGGGCTTGGGGGTCAGCGTACACTGCAAAGCATTGCGACAACTCAGAAACGTGAACGTGATCGATGACACACCCAGTACGCGATTAGGTGTTTTCTCTAGACGACGGCTTCCAGGGCACGGAATTCGGCCATTTGCAGTTGTCACTGCATACTCTTCGTGTCTCATGGCCTTTTCCATTGTTGATCTTATCGTTTAGGGGTACACACTCCTGACTCCATCTTGTTTTTAGTCAAAATAGTAATAGTTTGCGGAAGCCAGTATGCAAGGCTCTTGGGTCGAAGTTACATTGACCCAAGTCGATTGTTTGCAGCTAATGGCAGAACAATTTCGGAGAATGTAAGCCCTATTTGCTATTGGAAGCGTTGAGCGTACACCAAGAATACAACCTCGCAACAGCAGCTCACCATCACCTCTCGATGTCAGCCAACCTACATTGCGTCTGCCCACGGGGTACTTTTGCCAGGATGTACATGAAATCTGAGGCATGATTTGGTCAAAGTAGTGAAAGAAAGGCATAGCGGTGCCCATCATTATGTGCGTCGAAGTGGTGGCAGGAAGACAAGCTGACGGCCAACTCGATGGACTGAAGCAACGAATTTATACGTATTTTACGTTGTTGATGTTGTGGGGCAGGGGCTGACATTCTTCTCTATTAGCCAACTGGTCTGTCCGAGGTTGACGACAATGGAGCGAGAGACACACTCAGAGAACGAGCACCGTACGTGACACGTGTACAGTCTTCCAGCGTGTGTTCCGCAGCAAGACAGGAATCTTCCAAGCGGCATCGATCGAGGTAAGTCCTGCTTCTCGGGCCTGAGAAATGCACCTACGTGAACATTACCTCGAGTCAATTCACGGTCGTATATGCTCTGGAGTAATTCCACACGTATGTCACAAGCCAGGGGATCTCACCTATTACGCACAGGTAACCCGCTGATACAAGGAAATGCATGAGATGCGAAAAGCAGCGACATCTGCATCGTAAATGTAAAAAGTCGATGGATTTATCACTCAACGCAAGCGACATGCGAGTGCGCTGGGCCGTACATAGGCAACTTTGCAGAAGAATGCAGTTTCCATATGTAGGGACAAAACATGCTCAGGATCTCTCGTGTTTCCGAAAGTCAGCATACACGGTGAGTTAAAAGGCCCGAAACGATAGTGTTCGACTGGGGTCTGCGCGCTACTCTTGTGTACATCTATTTGCCCTAAAGCACCCCCCGAATGTGTCGTGATGCATGAAGGCTCGTTGGGCGCACCCTCTATGCATGTTGAACTGAAATAAAAGATACTCGAAGAAGACGTACCATAATGGAATTATGGAACTTCTGACTCGGTGCCAGCGGAAACTCTACTCACTGCATGACGTAGCCTTATGTGTATGTATTTGTCCTTCCCCCCCCAAAAAAAAAAGCTTGAGTTCACTCGGGCCACTACTCTATCTTGTCCCTCCACTCAGCCATCATATCTGGCCGCTGTCAACGAGTAAGTACTCTATCACAATCGAACATAGATCCTACTTCGGGGGCGGTTGGATGAGAGTGCATAGATGGAGTGGTGGATCCGCTGATGACGAGAATGCACTCTCTGCGGCCCACCCTGAACACCGAGTATGTCTCCTTGTTATGTGCTATCAAGGTAGGTTCTCGCATTGTCTTCAAGATATTGTGCTCTCGACGTATCTCTTGCCAATCCGCCCAAACGCATCTCTCATCACTAAACAGGTACGTACACCGATCACGTCATCTACAGCGAGAACGGCCCAACGCAGAAGCTTACGTTTGATACACGATCCGCCGTTTGCTAGGTTTGTGGTTTCCCTGCCTCTGTCTTGCATACTCTCCCACTTTGCACTTGTGTCTGCCTCCGTGGTTCAACGTTCACCCTCGTGGGTAAAGAAGTAGTACTGACGTCATCGCTGACAGCATTGCAATAATCGGCGGGAGCTGATAAGGCTTCAAGTCGACATGTCAGCTATATATGCAATCACCATTGTGGAAGCCAACACGTCCCGCTTCTGCATGAACGAAGTCAACTACATCTGGATGTGCTGCAGATGTCACTCATATCGTGCCACTGGATTTGGTTTGGCTCATCTCAGGGAATGGTGGGCCTCCGCAGTGCCGCCGCCTGATTAGAACTACGAACTGCAACTGCAAAGAAGCATTACGTGTTAACAACCACTCCGGTGAATACGATTGTCGGCGGATGTGAGTGTCGCAGCATGGCAAAGATCGAGTGTATATCAATAGTACTGGTGCTGTCGGTAAGTTGTCAAAATACTGAATTGTCCATGATGTCTGAGCTAGAAGATGTTCCATGAGCACTATGCCTATCGACAAAGAACGGACCTGGCGGTAACACCAATCGTTTGCCAGGATGTGTGTGAGGTATGACCCGTTCAGTCAGCGTAGCAACGCGGCGGCCTCCCGACGATCGCCATTATGTACATGAAGGTGGTGGGGAGAAAACAAGGTGGCGGGCGACTCGATGGCTTGTGTTGACAGACTTCAAGTTCCCGTTGTTGATGTTGGCTGACGGCGATGGAACGAAGGAGATGTCAGAGATTGCTTCACGGGCCGTTGCACGTACGTGGTTTGGTTTATGTACACCATTTGTACGAGTGGTTCAGTGCTTGCGATCCTGGACCCGACCATGGCACCACCTCGGGCTTGGATTCGTACGGGTATATTATCCCGAAGGTATTCTCGTATATCCTATATATAAATATAGTAATTTTACGCGGTCTATCCGTTCTGCGTGGACATACACTCAACTATCGATAAGATATACACTTGAAACCAGTGAACCCCTCGAGAGTCGAGACGACCAAACGGGGGGGAAAGGCACAAAAAGAGGACGGAAAGAAAGAAAAGGAAACCCTTTTGTTCAATGCCATCCATAGTCTCACCGCAATACCCTGAACCAGATCAACGTCCATCTTGGCTAACTCACTATTACAAGAGGTGAATACGATTGGTAATAGAATTATACCTCGCTCTCTCCTTGCAATGTTGTAGTTTGATCAAATGTCGGATCGGCCGTGACATCAGTCAGAAAAATCTCGCACATCCTGAATTGCCTTTCTCCATCCTTTGAACTCTCTCCCTGTCCCGAAAGTTTCGGCGGGTCCGCGAAGTTGATGGTATTGATGTGCAGATCTATCGTGGTTTCTGAACACTTGGATTGAAGGTATTTCCGGGTGTTCAGCGATGCTAGAAGCGAGTTGACATATACTATTCAGTAGTAAGATGAGGAGTTATGTCCATCGCATGTAGGGCACTGAAGACTGACACCTTCCGATGATGAAGTCTAATCCCATTTCCCATGAAACCTGGACCTCGGCGGCCTAAAGGAAATATATGAGTGACAACCACAGCATAACATATCGCATGTACCATGATGACCACCGCAATGGCGACTAATCTAAAAATGAAAGGCCTGAATGAAGCCACGGTTCGATGGAAAAGAGGGGTGAAACATACAGAGTCAGCAGACACCGGTTAACAGCGTAGATGATTAGCGTGTGCAGGAGACGCTTCATTCTAAACAGTGTTTGTTAGGAACGGGCTGTCAATACGTACTACTGGGGTCACCTTGGGAGCCCGTCACGAGAGCCACCATACAAAAGGACGCAAAGTGACACTGTAATCATACCCTCAGATAGTAAAAGGGGCGTCCCAGTGGGTATCACAACAGAAAACTGCGAATAACGACTCGTGAGTGGGTGCACCAATTTCTCCATTAACAAAGCTACCCTAGTTTGCGTAAGGATGGTGGCCTCGTTGTGGACGAACCTATACAGAGATCAATATTTGCGTGGAGGTGGTTAAGTGGTTCGGATTACACCAAAGCGCTGAAACCTGTTTGTTGATTTGAATAGGTCTCAGGTGGCGGAAAAACATCACAAACCCATGCCCGATCCTATTGCAATATCATCACTACATCGGAAATTCCTCGTGAACGCAATAAAAACTCACCGAAGCGAACAAGTACTAATAGTATCTATCAAAATATTGTCACTGCATGAAACCTTTGCCATCATAAACAAATGTGCTCACAACTGGGGTGGTCAACAACCACTTTAATTGAGGGCGACAAACTAAATCCCGATCAAAGAAGTCTCAAGAAGCAGATCGAGTGCGACATACGGCGATATATTTTATGTGCGAAGAAGCTAGTAGCATTCAATTTATGGGTGTAAACCCACTTAAGAGAGTTACTTACCATTGAACCACAGAAACCACAAGTATCTGGAATACGGTGAAATCCCATCATATGAACTTATGAAGTGAACGGAGCATACATTCACCAGAAACGACGCCTAAGCAGGGAGAACCTAAATCAGCGCCTCGTAGAAATCTGGATATGCGTACTGGGTATGACCTGCCATTTCTTGTCAGCAAGAGGTAGCTTTGAAATGGAAGGCATACGAACCAGACAATATAGTCCAAACTTGTTGGAATGCCATAATTTGTTACCTGCAACGATTGAGCGCACCGGTTGCAAGGAGAAGCATCGGTCTCACCAGGTAATAATACAATATATGGCACACTGATCGACCGTTGGCCATCCATTCACTTGGAAATACCAAGTACTTACTAAGCATTACATGTACAGTATCAAGGATCCTGACTCCACATGAGTGGATTTGACATATGCTCCGAGGTAGCCTAACTCACCATGTGACCGTAACCAGGCATTTCATGATTGAGGCATCGTCGGCAGAGTAGTGCATGAGATATAAATAAGTCTATATAATCAGTGAGCAGGGCATTAGCCTGAACATTCCATTTAAGACGCCCCTGGAGATTTGTTACGCCATATAACCTTGATGCAAATTTGCGAAAGAAGGATATCAGAGGGGTGATATAACAAAACAAAGCAAGGCATACACACGCAGCAGAGACCAAACCCCCGATGAGGGCAGAACCTATCACACACAAATGAGCAGACGGGATTGCACTTGGCTATGAAGGGTCTTCACCGAACCCGCCCGGGATGCCCATGTCGTTTGGGTAACTTGTATAAGGGGAACTCGTCGACGAACTCGCTGCAGGTTGTGGAAGGAGAAGTAATCGTGAGGCTGGAGCAATCCAGCCCTTTTTTTAACGGCCAAGGGCTACATTGGTATGATTAACAAGACCTGCACCGCCATCATCACCAGCACGACCGACCAGGTAGACCCAATCCCCGAAGCATCTTTTTGATCCGTCGGATTTGGAGGTGATGGACGAAGGCTTATTCCAAATAGTCTGGATATTTGCACGCCGCGAGCAGTAGGGCTGTACTTCGGTCGTATTTGGTATTGGGCGGGTCGGCCAGTGTGTAAGGTGATGACCAAGCACAAAAAACGATGCTGATTTCAAAGCTGTCCGCGAAAAGAAAAATTCGAAGTCACTCTGGATATCGAGCGATAGTACATATGTACTTTTGTGGAACGGTAGCACAAGTGCTCACCACCAGGTTGCTGGCAATTGATTGGCAAATACACCTCCAGTTGAACAACATCGTCCGCAGGCTGAAACGTGTACCATGCATGGCCTGTGTGAAGTAAAACGCCAGTAATGACCATGATCGATTGATTGATGGCTGATTGATCCGCTAAGGGCACCATCGATATGGGAACTAGTCCGGAAATGTAGATATTTTTGTGCGCGCACATTTGGCCCCAGACGTAAGTACCGGACTTCTTCACTCGCCCACCACATCTGATTGCGGTTAACAAGTACTCAGCCACAACCAAACATTGAGCATACTTTCATGGGATAAGATGAGAGGCGTAGGTGAAAGCGCGCTCTCTGCTTCCATTGGTCTACCCACGCGGGTAAATAAGCTATCACTGACGTCATCGTTGATATCGTCGCGATGGTGAAGCTGATCTTACTTTGAGCCATTACGAAGGGATCAAGGAATGGTAAGACCTGCCCCAGATCCGAGCAGCCTAACTAAAACCACGATCTCTACCCGTTAACAACGGGCAACGGAGGTGAGTATGATTGGCCGAGTCAATCCACATTTGCCATGTGGCAGAAACAGAATGTATATCAAATAATACTGGGGCTGTCGGTAAACTGTCAGAAGATTGATCCGTCAACGATGTCAAAGCTAGGAGCTATTCCATGAACATATCAACATCTCTCCTCCATCCCGGTGAAGCAGGCAGCCACGTACAATCACACCTGATCCGACGTGTTTCTAGGATCAAGATACATCTGTAGGTTCAGCGCGGGCAACATTGAGTGGGAAACCCGAATATAACATCGCAGTAGATGTTCACCGTCGCGCCCGATGTCAGGCAATTCGCCTCTTTGGCCTCCGTAATGCGACCGCCGCCTGCATCCAACTTATCAAAACACGGAACTGGGCATCGCTGAAGCACAAACCTCGTGGTAACACGAATCATTTTCCAGGATGTGCATGAGGTATGAAAACATCAGCCAATGCAGCAAACCAGCGGCGTAGCAGCGGCCATTATATACGTTGAAATAGTAGAAGGAAAACAGTTGGCGGGTGACTCGATGGCTTGGGTGAGCGAACATTGCTCAGCGCTCAACGATGTTGTGTGGGGATGGCGACATTCGTCTCGGTCTCGTGCATACACAGAATTTCAGCGTGTGCGTACGAACAATTCCGTGCTAACCTGGACCCGACCAAGGGTATGGATCGCAAGTGATGCAATCTCGAAGATCCTAGACGAGTCTGCACATCGTATTCAAATTTCATGAAACACGCAAATAATTTGGACAGTATCATCCAGCCCTCGCCAGCTAGAGACGAGGTACTTGTGCTCGCCATTGGAACGAACCGTGTTAGATTTGGCAAGTCGTGCGTAGTCCGTTCCGAACGCGTCCGCTCCGGGCCGTGAGAACAACTTTCCGTTCTAAGTCTTCATACCTTATCATTATTGTTGCTCGCGCAATTAACCTTTGCGCCCTTGTGTTCGTTGTATTCCCAGTGTCTTGCACTTATGTGCATTCTCCTGTTACTTACGAAGACTGTAGCGCGTCTCACAAATGAGACCCCCCCCTTGTCATGTATCCCCGGGTTCAACACCCGGATGTCTCAGTATTGTTGTACTCGAGAATATTTAGTCTCGTACTGTACACTGCTCGCCTCAGACCTTGTCGCTACTCGCGCGCGACTGAGGTGAGCACGAATATGTTTTACCCTTGTCTTGCTGTACCTAAACCCCCACCTAGTTTATCTGTATAAACCGGCCCTACACTCAGCGGGTTCCTTTCCTCCCGTTCTGCCCTCAGCCTTGCCTGCCCACCCCAAGGGAACTGCGTGACATTCACTACCTAATAGCACTTGGAAAATGAGTCGCCCTTATGGAACTGTGGAATCAAGAAAAACACTGGCAATCTCGGTCGGTGCAGATATTGCTGCGATGGGCCGTGAAAGCGAGTTTATTGCTCAGTTTCAGCTTGAAGTTATATTGGATTAAGTAAGCAACTACCACTTCGTCAAGTCCCTTGCGGAGAAATTCTCCACTAGTCGTGGATAGTGAGCTTCGTCCGTGCTTTCCAAAACTAGATGGACGGGTAACCCTGCGAAAATTGACAACCTTGAAATGCACTCTCGTCTGTATCCCTCCATCCAGTCAAAGTAGTTTTCGTGAACTATTGGCAGTGCTGCTTGCTGGGGCTCATGGGTCGAAACCGATCAAATCAAGTTGTCAACTCGTTCACCGCTGGCGGAGCACTTTATGGTAGGCTTGTCTTGTTTCGCTGTGAGCAGAGTTGAGCAGACACCCAGAGTGCGATGCCGCAACAGCTGCTCACAATTCGCCTGCCGATGACACGCAACATGATGCAATCGCCAGCCCATGATGCTTTCTTGCCAGGATGTACATGAAGTATGACTTGGTCAAAGTAGTAGAAGAACGAGTTGGCGGACGACTCAATGGCTTGAATCAATGAATTTAGAGGTATTTCATGCTGTTGATGTTGTGAACCGTTAACGGTTTACATTCGTCTCGGCCCGCCAACTAGCAATTCGGTCTGGACGAGGCTGATGATGATGGAAGAAGGGAGCTACTCAGAGAATGAGGATTGCATCGTAGGCCAATGCACGTACGTGGTTCGGTTCCATGTGTACGGAAATTTTCATCCTGCGTGTACAAGCAATTCAGTGCCATCCCAAACCAGATGACGCAATGATTCGGACGACTGGGACCCAACTCAGTAGTCAGCGACGTGCACGGCACGACCTCGATTTTGCATTCAAAACATTCACATGGGAGATTATCATCATCCCGAAGGTCCTTTCCTAGGTGCTACATGGAAGTGGTACTTATACGATCCTGGTGAACCCCTCGAGACGACTGAAAACCCAAATCGATAAAAGAATTAAACAGACAAAGAATGGAATGAAAGGAATGAAAAAAGAACCCGGTCACTTTACACCTTCACCCCCACCTCAACGTCCTGAAAACCCACAACCTCTATCTTCTCCTGTGCCATCCACATCCCCTCTGATCTATGTCAACGTCCATCTTTTCCAATCCACTATCTCAAGATGCGAATAGGATCAGTGATGTTAAAGCGTTGCTGTCGTCTTCAAGTTCCGCCGCAACACGTACATTTCCGCTCAGCTCGCCCACGTCAAGAACATCCCGAATAGACGTGATAGTACTTATCGACATCGCCCACTCACGCTCCGAGCGCAGTCCCAAAAACGACAGCGATGAAATGAAACGCCATTTCCCATTCTAGTGTGGAGGCCCGCCGTTGCGCTGGCAATGACGAGGACAAGATTGACAACTCGACGGTACTGTTCGTTGTCGTCGTAAACTCTTCGATTTTTGGGGGACGATAGTGTCTGATGCCGCGGACTAGTCATTGAGACCATTCAAACTGTGTTGGGACGAGGGGACGGGCTCGGATTCCAGTAAGTGTGTGCGTACACGCTTCTCTTCGGGTTCGACTTTTGTTTGCCTCAACTTTCAAGGTCACCAACACTTCGCTACATGCACCCACCCGCTGAATTTCACGTCCTCCCCCGAGTTAATCTCGCGTTGAATATTCCTTTCGAGTTCCATGCCTTATACATTGTACGCGTTGCTGTCGTCAGAGCCAGGTTGCAGAATCGCAAGTATGGTGGTGACAGTACTGCCGCAACGACGGTTCCGCATCTATATCCATCTAGTCAGGGACATACAGCGGACCGAACATCAACGAAGCCGAACCGAGGGATAACAGGAATTGTTTGCCGGGATGTAAGTGGGGTAGGACTTGGTCAATCACATAGTAAAGCAGCGGTATGCGGGCGTTCGTCATCATATGCGTCGAAGTGGTGAGAGGAGAATAAGATGGCGGGCGATTTGGTGGCTTGAATCGACAGATATATAGGTATTTCGCAATATTGTTGATGTTATGAAGTGATTACTGACATTCATGCCGGTTAGCAAATCCGATCGTGGTACGTATGTGGTTCGGTTTACGCATACCGCGCGTACGAATGAATGTTCTAGTGCTAGCCTGGTCCTGACCAAGATGGTAGTACGATCTGCGACGTCGATGAACACTCGAAGCGACTGCAAGTCTGTTCCTCGTCACAAGCCATGATTGGGTCCATCTCACATGGTGTCACCTCGTTCATTCGTGCAGTAGGTTATCCCAGAGACCTACACCGTACATATAAGTCGTACATGATGCAATGGCGTCCAGTCACATAAATGCCAACACGCGATACACTTGAATCCCATGAAACAATGAATCCCCTGTGCCGGAACGCATTCGATGAGACAGCCGCAGACAAAACTAAGCAGACCGAAGGAGAACGAAAAATAAGGAAGACGAAGAACCACAGATTCATCTCTGCTGACGAAGCAGGGGACCAGAGGCTACAACCGCGAGATGAAAAGTACAAGAGGTACTCGCGGTGAGGCGCTCAACGCACCTGACGAGTTCATTGGGGACGAACTACCTATATACGCAAGTGGAACATCTCTATAGGGCCCTCGTCCCTACGTCCCTGCTCGTTGTGAATAGTAAGCTACTCCTGGCGTCGCATTATGCTCTCCACAGCTACGGGGGCGGGTGACCCTGCGGAGTGTGTCCTGTCGAAATGACCGCTCTGGGCTCGTGGGTACACGCATCTTGTGGCCAGCGTCGAGACGCAGTCGTTATCCCGCCAGATAATAACCTGCATGAGGAAAATACGATTATCCTCATACTGAGCAAGTACTTGCGTCGGGAACCATGGACGATGGGCACAAAGCTCTCTCCATGGCCCTAGTCTAGTGGGATCGCTAGAACAAATCCTTGAAAGTGAGAATCAGACATATAAGCTAGCGTGCTCCCAGCGAGATGCGTACCTATTCAAGCCCACAGGCCCTCCTGCAGATGCGGCATCGAAGAGTTATGGTGTGGGACGGGACGACAGACAAGGTTTGATTAGCCTGGACACACCAGAAGTTCGTCATACGCACGTTAACATCTCCACTCCATCAACAGTGATACAATTGACTTGCATCGGTACTGGCAGCGTGCGCCAAGCTGCTGTATTTAGGCGGGGCTAAGACAGGTATAAATTCCAGAGACCTCCATCGTCATACTTGTTCCATGACCTCGTCAACTTGCATCACGATGGTCTGGATCTCAACGAGCCTCTGCTCTTCAACCATCATCCTAGATAAGTGCACTCCACATAGCACAGTAGGAATTATATCCCTCCATACTGAAAGGACAGATACTCGAAGGGCCGGTATATGCCATTACATAATCGTGCCAGAGTTGATTCAGGTCGAGCATTTTGCATGACGTAGTTTGTGTGCACGTGTTTGTCCCCCCGACGCCAGTCCGACTCCTCACGTCTCTGACAGCTACCCTATCCTGTCCCTTCACTCAGCGACCACGTTTGGTCGCAGTAAACAGGTAAGTACTCTGTCGCAATCGAGCTTAGATCCTGCTTTGAGAGTGGTAAGATGAGAACACGTACGTGGAGTGGAGCATTCGCTGACGACGAGAATGCACGTCCTCTGTGGCCCACTCCAAACTTCGATTCCACTACCTTGGTATGTGCTATCAAGGGTACGCTTTCTTATCTTCAAGACATTTCACTCTCGAAGGATTTCTTTTCAATTCGTCCGCACGCAGTTCTCGACCAGGTACGTACACTGATTACAACATCTTCAGACATGTTCAAGATGACGGGCGACGCAACAGAAAAGCTTACATTTGACACACGATCCATCATTGGCTAGGTTTGTGGTTCCTCTACCATTGTCCCTCATACTCTACTGTTTTGCACTCGCCTCTGCAACCCTCGTGTGGTTCACCCTGGCGGGTAAATAAGCTAGCACTGACGTCATCATTGATATCATCGTGATGGTCGCGGGGAACTGAAAAGGCTTCACAGAGGGTCGGCTTGTCGGCTATGCAATCACTGTTGCAGAAGCCAACAGGTACCGCCTTCGCGTGAACGAAGTCAACTGCCCTTGGACGAGTTGCAGATGAGTCATTCATATCGCATCATCGATCTTGTTTTGGCCGTTATGAAGGTGTCGAGGAACAGTAAGCCCCACCTAGCGCCGAGTGTGCTGACCAGAACCACGAATACTAATTGCGAAGAAGCATTCTGTGTGAACAACTGCTCTGGTGAATATGATTGGGTAAGTCCATCCATACTCACACTAAGGAGCATAATGCCTGTTTGGATGCGAGTGTCCAAGCATGGCAGAGATAGGGTGCGTGTCAATAGCCACGGCGCTGTCGGTAAGCTGTCAGAAGACTGAATCATCAACGACGTCAGGGCTAGGAGATGTTCCATGAGCATATTAACATCTTTATTCTCCATCTAGCGGTGCAGGGAACCGCTTACAATCATGCCTGTATGTTCGGCGCGGGAAGCATTGAGTGGACAACCAGAATATAACATTGCAGTAGATGTTCATCGTTGCACCCGATGTCAAGCAGTTCGTTTTCTGGTCACCGCAATGTGACCCTGGCCTGTATCCAACTTATTAGGACACAGGACTAAGTGTTGGGGAAACACTGAACCTGGCGGTAACACGGATCGTTTGCCAGGAGGTACATGAGGTATGACTTGGTTAGTCAACGCAGCAAAGCGGCGGTGTAGAGGGGTTCGTCATGTGTGTCGAGATTCGAGGCAGCGGGAGGAAAAGAAGATGGCGAACGACTCAATTGCTTGGGTCAACGCATTTATAGCTGTTTCTCGTTGTTGATGTTGTTCGGCGACGGCCGACGGCGAAGGAACGAGGGAAATGCCCAGAGAACGAAGATTGCTTCATGGGCCGCGGTTTGGTTTACGAACACCCTGTATACATACGTGGAACTTCAACGCGTGTGTACGAGTGGTTCTGTACTTGCGATGCCGGACTACGGGCACGGACTTTGCGACCGGAACGCGATGTACTGAGGACCGGGACCCAATTCAACAATCAACGACCACGGTGCCACTCAGATCTTGCATTCGCAGAGGTAGATTATCCTGAAGGCCTTCTCCTATGTCTTACATATAAATATGGTACTTATAGACGCGAGCTATCAGTTCTGCGTGAACATACACCGAAATACCGTACGAGATTCGCTTGAATCCCGTGAACTAGTGAACCCCTTGAGAGTCGCGACGACCAAGTAAGCCAGAAGAAATTCAAACCGATAGATATTAAATGGAAAAAAGAGGCACGGGTGAAAGGATGGAAGGAAAGTAAAGGAAACCTTTTTGTCCGATGCCATCCATAGCCCCACCGCAATACCCTGAACCAGATCAACGTCCATCTCGGCTAGTTCACTATTACAAGAGGTGGATACGATTGGCAACAGAATTATACGTCGCTCTCTCTTTGCAACGTTGTAGTTTGATCAAGTGTCGGATCGGCCGTGACATCAATCAGAGCAACTTCTCATACCCCGAATTGCCTTTCTCCATCCTTTGAACTCTCTCCCTGCCCAGAAAGCCTCTGCGGGTCCGCGAAGTTGATAGCATCGATGTGTATATCTACTGAGGGTTCGGCACTCTGGGATTGAAGGTATTGCCGGGTGTTCAACGATGCTAGAAGCGAGTTGGCATATACTATTCAACAGTAAGATGAGGAGTTATGGTCATCACGTGCAGGGCACCGAAGACTGACACCTTCCAATGATGAAGTCTAATCCCATTGCCCACGAAACCTGCACCTCAACGGTCTAAAGGAAATGTGAGAGCGACGTAGTCGTAGTGCAACACATCTCACGTACCATAATGTCCATTGCGATGGCGACCAGTCTACAACGAAACAGCGAATGAAGCCATGCTCAATGGGAAAGAGGGATGAAACATACAGAGTCAGCAAACACCGGTTAACAGCGTAGATGATTAGCGTGTGCAGGAGACGCTTCATTCTAAGCAGGGTTTGTTAGGTATGAGCTATCGATGCGAATCAGAGTCACCTTGGGAACCCGTCGCGAGAGCCACCATACAAAAGTACGCAAAGTGACACTGTAATCAAACTCTCCGATAGTATGAGGGGGGACCCAGTGGGGATCACAAGGGAAAACTATGAATGACGATTCGTGAGCGGGTGTACCAATTTCTCCATCAATTAAATTACCCTGGTCTGTGTAAAGACGGTGGCCTCGTTATGGACGAACCTGCACACGGCAATCAATATTTCAATGGAGATGCTTAAATGGTTTGGAGTACATGAAAACACCCAGCACTGCTTGTTGGTTAGAATAGGTCTCACATGGTGGAAAAAGTACAAACCCATGCCCGATCCTGTTGAAATATTGTTGGAAATGCCTCTCGAACTCGTGGATGCAATAAAAACTCACCAAAGCGAACAAGTACTAATAGTATCTATTATGACGTGGTCACCGCATGATATTTTTACCACCACAAGCGAGTGTGCAAATGTACTCACAATTGGGATGGTCAACAACCACTTTAATCGAGGCCGACAAACTGAATGCCAATCAAAAAAGCCTCCAGTAGGTTAAGTGCAACATACGGCAATATATTTTATGTGCGAAGAATCTGGTAGCGTTCAGTTTGTGAGTGTAAACCCACAAAAGTTACTTACAATTGAACCACAGAAACCACGAGTATCTGGAATAGATTGAAGTCCGGTCATAAAAACCCGTGAGGCGAACGGAACATACAATCACTAGAAATGATGCCTAAGCAGGGAGAGATCATTCTAAATCAGTGCCCCGTAGAAAATCGGATATGCGCACTGGGTATGACCTATCATTTCTCGTCAGCGGGAAGCAGGTCTAAAATGGAAGGCATACAAACCAGACAACATACTCCAAACTTGTTGGAATGCCATAATTGGTTATCTGCAATGACTGAGCGCGACGATTACAAGGAGTAGACGCATCGGCCTCACCAGGTAGTAATACAAGATATGACACACTGATCGACTTTTGGCCATCCATTCACTTGGAAATACCAAGTACTCACTGAGCGAGACATGTAGAGTTTCAAGAATCCTGACGTCACGTGAGCAGATATAACTTATGCCCCAAGATAGTCTACTTCACCACGTGGCAGCAACCAGGAACTTCATGACCGAGGTATCGTTGGTAGAGTAGTGCATGAAATACGCGTAAGTCTATATAATCAGTAAGCAGAACACTAGCCTAAACATTCCGTTCAAGACGCCCCTGGAGAGTTGTTATGCCATATAACCTTGAGACGAAGTAAGGATATCAGAGGGGAGATGTGACAAAATCAAGCAAGGATACATACGCAGCAGAGACCAAAGCCGAAATGAGGGCAGAACCTATCATAAACAAATGAACAGATAGAACTGCGATTAGCTATGAAATTTCTTCACCAAACCCATCGGGGATGCCCATATCGTTTGGGTAGCTTGTATGTATCAGGGGGCAGAGTCGTTGCAGGTCGTGGAAGATAAGCGATCGTGAGGGCGGTAAGAATGCAGCCCTTTTTCAACCCCCAAATGCTGCGTTAGCATGATCAAGATAACTTGCACTGTCCCAGGCACCAGTACAACTCACTAGGTCAACTCAATCGTCGAAGCATCTTCCGATTCTTGATCCATCAGATTCGGAGATGATGGGCAACAGCTTATTCCAACAATCCAGCTACTTTCGGACCGCGAGCAGTCTAGCTGTACCTATTTATTCCATACTGTGCAAGGTTTGTGGTCGAATTTGGCATTGGGCGGGTCGGCATGTAAGATGATGACGATTCTAAACCTGTCCGTGAAATGAAACCTTGAAACCACCGGGCGATATTAGAATACGTGCTCTTGCGGAATTGTAACTCGAGTACTCACCGCTGCGTTGCTGGCGATTGATTGGCAAATGCTGCCCTCCGGTTGAACAATATTGCCTGCCACATGTGTCACACACGTGAATAGCAAGCCAATGTTGGCTATGATCTGCCAAGGCCACTGCAGAAGGACTTCGAGTTCACACGGGAACACGCAGCAGGGAGAAATGAAGGCACATCAATGTTCCTGTGTGTACTATCAGTGCTGATGTGGAGTACATACAGTACTGATCAGCATCGTATGGGCGCTGTATTTTGTTTGCGCGTGTTTGTCTCCCAGGCACACTTCTCTGCTCTCTGCCACTATGGAACATGTAGCCTACATACCTTGCGATCGGGTGAGGGGAAGTGAAGGTGCACAAATGGGAAAGTGCACTCTCTGCGGCCCAGTTATGCGCTATCAAGGCAGGTTCTACATATATTGATCGCAGCATCTACAAGACGACGGACGACCCGACACGAAAGCCTACGTTTCACATACGACCCACCATCCACTAGGTTTGTGGTCCTCCCAGACATCGTCCCCCATACTCCCCCATTTTACACTTGTCTCTTACCTTCACGTGTTTCATCCTTGCGGGTAAATAAGCTAGCACTGGCGTCGTTGTCGATGTCATTGCGATTATTTGGGGTACTGAAGGAAAGTCGAGATGTCAGCCATGTACTCACCATTGCGGAAGCTAACACATACCGCCTCTGTATCAACAAACTCGGTTACCTTCAGACGTGTCCCAGATGTCATTCATGTCACATCACGGGCCTCGCTTTGGTCCATTGGAAGCAAGAGCCACCAAGGACGATAGCGAAGAAGCTTTCTGGGTGCACAATTGCTCTTCCAGTGAATATGATTGGGTAAGTCCATCCGAATTCACACCAAGGGGCGTCATGCTTGTCTTCAGTGGATGCGAGTGTCCTAGCATGGCAGAGATAGAGCACATGACAATAGCAACAGCGCTGTCGGTAAGCTGTTAAAAGACTGAGCCGTCAACAATGTCAGAGCTAGGAGATGTTCCATGAGCATATCAACATCTCTATTCTCCATCCGGCGGTGCAAAGAGCCACTTACAATCTCACCTAATTCGACACGTTTTTACGATCAAGGTACATCTGAAGGTCCGGCGCAGGAAGCATTGAGTGGAAAACCAGAATATAACATTGTGGTAGATGTTCACCGTTGCACCCGATGTCAGACAGTTCATGTCTCTGGCCACCGCAATGCGACCTACGCCTGTATCCAACTTATTAGAAAACGGGACTGAGCATTAGTGAAGCACTGAACCTGGCGATAACACAAATCGGTTGCCAGGATGTGCATGAGGTATGATTTCGCCAGACAACACTGCAAAGCGGCAGCGTGGCGGTGTCCATTATATGCGTTGAAGTGGCAGGAGGGAAAGCAAGATGGCGGACGACTCGATGGCTCGATTTATATGTAGTTGTTTCCAGTTGTTGATGTTGACGTTCATCCCGGGCCGCCCCATGGACGTCGTTCGGCACATGCACATTGCGCATACACAGAATTTCAGCGTACGAACAGTTCAGTACTGGTACTAACCTGGTCCAAACCAAGGGCGCAGATCTTTTGAGCGGAAGTGATGATATAATGGTGGATACTTGAGACAAGTACTTTTGCCCCTCATATTTGCAAACGAGCACATAATTTAGACAGTAGCATCTGGCCCCCGTCAGCTGGAGATGACAGGGTGCTCGAACTCGCCATTGGATAAGAACTGGCCCCGATTCTACCACCTGAGGATGTCGAGGTAGACAGAGTACTCATGAGCGTTCTCACCGCTCTTCCTGGGTTCTTTCTCGCCTTAGCTGGCCTTACACTCTGCACGTTCCTTCGTCTCGCGTTCTGCTCTCGGCCCCGTCCCCCTCCCTCTGTCTTTGCTCATCTTGGCTTGACCCACTCCAGGGAATTGCGTGTTATGTGCGCTACCACCTAGCTCTTGGAAAACGAGTTGCCTTTCGGGAATTGTGGAACCAAGAAAGGCATTGACGATCTCGGTGACATGTCTGAGCAGATATTATCGCGAATGGCCGTTTATGTGGCTAGGAGCCTACTCACTACATTGGATTAACTTGTAAGTACGCTTACTACACCAACAGGTCTGACGGTAGGAAAATATTCCGGGAACCAAGTAAGTAGCCAACGACCACGGCACCACCTTCATCATGAATCCAGTCCATTGTATGGTAGGTTATCCCGAAGGTCCTCTCGTAGGTCTTACATAGAACTGGTACTTATACACGATCTTCCCGTTGCGCATGGACACACCTCCAAATACCGATAACCATATGCTTCAATGCCGGTGAACGACCGAAAATCCAAACCGACAAAAATTAAACGAACTGAACAAGAGAAAAAAAGGAACAAAAGGGAACTGAAAGGAATGAAAAAGAACATGGACACTGCGTCTTATACCACTGTTTCAACGCCCTCGACACTCAGTCTCCATCTCCTCTCGTGCCATCCATATCTCCTCTGCAATACCTTGACCCGGGTCAACGTCCACTTCGGCTAACTCGCTGTCTCGAGATGCGAATGCCATTGACGATGCTGGTACTTCTCCATCCTTTTGGCTCTCACCTTGCCCCGAAAGCTTCTGTGGGTCCGCGAAGTCGATAGCATTCATGTGTAGATGTACCGCAGTTTCTGGATTCTGGGATCGAAGGTACTGGCGGGCATTCAGCGATGCTAGAAGCGAGTTGGTATATACTATTCAACAGTAAGATGCAGTGTTATGTCCACATAGGGCACCGAAGACTAACACCTTCCAATGATGAAGTCTAATCCCATTGACCATGAATCTTGGACTTCAACGGTCTAACGGAAGTGAGAGAGTGACGGTGGTTGTAGTGTAACGCATTGCACGTACCATGCTGAACATTGCAATGGCGACTAATCTACAATGAAGGGCATGAAATGAAGCCACGGTTCCATAGGAAAGAGAAATGAAACTTACAAAGTCAACAAACACCGGTTAACAGCATAGACGATAAGTGTATTCAGGAGACGTTTCGTTCTGAGTAAGTTTCGTTAGGTATGAGTTATCGGCGCGTACTGGAGTTACCTTGGGAGCCCGTCGCGAGAGCCACCATATAAAAGTACGCAAAGTAACATCGTAATCAGACCCTCAGATAGTATGAAGGTGGTCCCAGTGGGTATTATAACGGAAAACTACGAATGACGACTCGTGAGCTGGTGCACCAAGTTCCTCGTTAAAGAAATTACCCTAATCTGTGTAAAGATGGTCGCCTCATTATGGACGAACCTGTACACAAAGATCAATATTTCAGTGAAGACGGTTAAACGATTTGGTGTACATCACAGCGCCCAAGCCTGCTTGTTGGTCAGTGTAGGTTTCACGTAATGAAAAAATTGCACAAACCCATGCCCCCTACTATTGAAATATCGTTAGAAATGCCTCACGGACACGATAGAACTCACCGAAGCGAATAAGTACTAGTAGTATCTATCGTGAGATTGTTACCTTGCATGATGTCTTTGCCATCGCAAGTAAATGTACTCACAACTAGGGTGGTCAACAACCATTTTAATTGAGGGCGACAAACTGAATACCTGATCAACGAAGTCTCGAGAAAGGTCGAGTGTGACATACGACAATATATTTTGTGTGCGAAGAAGCTAGTAGTATTCGACTCATGAGCACAGACTCACACAAGAGAGTCACTTACAGTTGAACTACGACAACTACAAGTACCTGGAACACAGTGAAATCATACCATAAAGGCTAATGAGCCTGTGGACGAAACCCACATTCACCAGAAGCGACACCTAAGTGGGTGGCACACTAAATCGGTGCCTTGTAGGAAATTAGATGTGCGTACCGGGTATGACCTATAACATCTCATCAGCGGCAAGTGGAATTGAAATGGAAGGCATACGAACCAGACAATGTACTTCAAACTCGTTGGGACACCGTAGTTAGTTATCTGCAGCGATTGAGCACAACGGTAACAAGGAGTTGATGCGTCGGTTTCACCAGGTAGTAATACAAGAGATGTCCCACTAATCGACAGTTGGCCCTCCATATACTTGGAAGCATCAAATACTCACTGAGCGACATATGTAGAGTATCGAGAATCCTGACTTCGCGTGAGCTCATTTGATATGCACCAGAAGGTACCCTAGCTCACCATGTGGCAGCAACGAGGAGCTTCGTGATCAAGGCATCCTCAGAGCAGTGCATAAAATACACATAAGTCTATATAGCCAGTAAGCGGAGCACTAGCCTCAACGTTCCATTTAAGACGCCCCTGGAGAATTGTTATGCCATATAATCTTGGTGCAAAATCAGGAGTATTAGAATGCGACAAAATCAAGCAAAGCATACGCAGCAGAGACTAAACCTCCGACGAGAGCAACACCTATTACACACAAATGAGTAGGCAGGACTGCAGTTGGTTATGAAGGCCTTCACCGAACCCGCCTGGGATGCCCATGTCGTTTGGGTAACTTGTACAGGGGGGACTCGTCAATGAACGCGTTACAGGTTATTAAAGGGGAAGCGATCGTGAATGTGGAAAGGGCGCCTCATCACTAGGCTGTGGAGCACTCCGGTCCTTTTTGTTACTGCCAAAGGCTGCGTTGATATTATCAAGAGAACCTGCACTGCCCCAAACAGCAATACAATTCACTAGGTAAACTCAATCGACGAAGCGCCTGCTTGATCGGCCAGGTGATGGACAATAGCTTCTCCCGGCAATATGGCTACTGACGAACTGTGAGCCACTGTACTTACTTTTTCGTATTAGGCATAGTGTGTGAACTGTCCGTGAAATGACTCAAAAACTTCAAATCAGTCTGGCCACTGAGTACTGAGCCTTAGTAGAATATGGACTGATGTGGATTCTATGGCAACTCACCAGCCCCGAATTGGTCACAATTGATTTGCAAATGCCGCGGTATGTACACTCCGTTGAACAACATCGTCTACGGCGCGGCGTATGGCATGTGAGGAGAGGGCTGGTATCGACCACGTGCATAATCTGCTACTTGGAGGGCACCCTCAGGAGCAGTCACAGACGCGCAGTAGGTGCAACGGAGGCACGCTCTATAGGATTATGTAAGCTCCGTAGTTCCAACCCGAGTGATCCGTTGGCAGCATAGGCTCTCGTCAGTACTATGGGCAAGCCTGCATCCGCTATCATAAGCCAATCAGTCCGGTTTGTGAGAGGCTAACGGTGATGAGACGAAGGAGATGTTCAAAGAACGACGATTGCATTATGGACTGTGATGGCACGTACGTGGCTCGGATTCTGCATGTCATGTGTACGCAGAATTTCAGTGTGCGTATGAACAGTTTAGTGCAATCCAGGACTCAATAACGCAACGATTCGGACGGTCAGAGTCCAACTCAGTGTGCACGGCACGAACAGTGTTGCCCCCGAGGTGAAGTTTGCTTTGCTTCAAAATTTGACTAAGTGGTTCGATGCAGTTGGAAGATTAAAAGTCAAGTTTAACCTCAGTTCACCGTGGTACGACCTCGACCTCGAATCCAACACATTCGTATGACAGATTATCCCGAATCCCCCTCTCCTAGGTGCTACATGGAAGTGGTACTTATATGCCAGTCTACGCGTTCTACATGGACGTACACCCCAATATTGATAGCCATACACTTGAATCCTAGTGAACCCCTCGAGACGACCGAAAACCCAAAGCGACAAAAATGAAACAGACCGAACTAGAGAGAAAAAAGGACAAAGAGAAATGAATGGAATGAGAAAGAACACGGGACGCTGCGTCTCACACCTTCACCGCCGTCTCAACGTCCTCAACGTCCGCAACCTCAATCTTGTCAAATGCCATCCATATTCCCTTCGCAGTATCCTGATCCAGGTCGACCTCCATCTCGGCTAACCCGCTAACCCGAGATGCGAATATCATCGGTGATGGTGGTACGTCGCCCTCCGAGTCTTCAAGTTCCGCAGCACGTACATTTCCGCTCAACTCGCTCACATCATGAGCGTCTCGAACGGACGTGACAGTACTTATTGACATCGCCCGCCCACGCTCTGAACGAGGGCCCAAAAACGACAACGATGAACCGAAAGCAAAGCCATTTTCCATCTTCACATGGAGGTCCATCATTGCTACTGGCAGCGGCGGACTGTCCTCGAGTTCCACCACGTCGAATCCTAGCCCCGATTTCAGAGCTCCTCCTGTTGTCGAGTCCGACTCGGACGTTAATGTTACGCCAGATCCATAATCTGGACCTGCCAGATCCTGACGCGAACCTGAAGCTGCCCAACTGGACCTCCTCCAACTGAACCGCTTCCGAAGACGGTTGGTTGATACCCTCGATGAATGACGTTCTGACCTAGATCTCTCTAGCTTGACTTGCCCGGTACCGATACCACCGTCGCGCTTATGGATGTCGATGTCGACCCCGCTGCTTAGAGTCACAGTGGCACCGACAGGATGAACTTGAAGAACGCTCGACCTAGGCTTGGACTTGAACGTAGGGGATACGCATCAGTAGTAAGAAGTCAGCATTTCCGTCAAGGACTCATAACCGTGCACGTACGTCAGTAGTCTCGTTGCCGCTGTGGTGACTGCCATCATCACACTTCCGGGCCTTATCTGCTTCGCCACCGCCATCTCTCTCTCCCACATCCAGAGGCCGATCCTTATTGGACCACACAGGCCAAGACGTCCCGGCAGGAAATGACAACGGTCTCGCCTTTACCTTCCGTGTACCAGAAGGGGGAAGAGAGAATGGAACTTGTCTTCCCAGAACATCGGAATTCTCTGCTGTGTGTTCGGGCTTCCTTCGCGTTTGGGCGCTCCATCGACGCCGGAGTCGACTCAGACCTAGAGCCGGGTTCGCAGCAGCACGCTGCCGGAGTCGACGCCACCTTCACCGCAGCCGTGATGCAATTATCGTCGTCGTCGAAGTCTAGCAGCGGTGACGCCGAGACTTCGAAGTTCTCCAAAAGCCGAGAACCCTGTGCCGTTGGAAGACGGCCGTGTGGAGCAGTCCAAGTTGAGATGAAAGCGGGTCGATCAGTCTCACTACCAGATGAGCTTCGACATTTGACTGCGTGCATGGCTTCTTCTGTTTCTGTATTTTTCGCCTCCTCAGTCTGCCTCCACTCGCTGGTCGTCGACTCGAGTCCCGTCCTGCTCCTCGGCCTCTTGCTCCTCCTGGAGGGCAGAAAGCGGTGGCAACGTATGACCACGTGCACGTGGTGGCGAGGACGTTATAGCGTGCACGTCTTCTGGACTTGAAAGCTCCACCTCAGCGTGATTTCCATCAACGTTGAGCTCCCGAGCTGGTTCCGCGTCTTCAGCTCGGCATCGTTCGTGATCAGGGCTATCAACAGACTTGAACAATACTGGTACCTCCGCCTTCGCACATGTGTCCAGTACCTCAAGCGTAGGCGCAACAGCTGGCAGAGACACACTCAAATCTCCCAATTCCGCCCCCTCTCGTCTCCTAATACCCACTAACACCTCAATCCTTCTCCTTATTTCTGCATCTGACATACCCGCAATTGCACTTTCGATATCTTCATCTTCATCGCCCACCGACTGATCCCCCCTTTCGGCGGCCGCACCGATACGCATTCGCTGAGGTAACTTCTCGTTCAAAGCGCGCACGACGCCTTCTAGTTTCTCGCGTGGCATCGTGAGTAGGTCTTCATGGCAACAGAACGGGGCCGCGGAGAGGGCTGTGAGAACGATCCCCTCCGTGGATGCGGAGTAAGTTTGAAGGATGACCCCTGGTAGCGTGATGTTCGAAGATGTCGTGGGCGTCGAAGGCGGCAAGGATGAACGTGGGGGTGTGCGTGTAGTGAACATAGTAGATGAACGGAGGAAACCCGCCGGTGAACGAAGCAATGTAACGAATGTGTGCATGGTTGAGCGGCGGCTCCGTTTTGGTGGTAAGTTCGCTGGTGGCGGTGGTTGTGCTATGTGAGCAAAGAGCGAGGTAGTCGCTGGTATCGTCGTCATAGTACTCTTTGAGGAGGTTGAGGGGTTGGCACGTTGTTTCGGATGCATGACAAGTCGACGGGCTAGCATATGATTGTGCGGACATTAAATCAGCGAGGGTGAAACGAGACGGAGGGCTGACACGGACAGAGAAGACCTACTCAGACGGGGAGCCGCCCACACGTGGGATGGGTTTGCGATTTGAGTAATTTCCTAGTGCGATTTGGATTGGCGCCACTTGCAATCAACGATGTCGAGGTTATGAGGTAGTTGGTAGTAGTTATTAGCATGGGCGACGGGCATCCATTGTACATAGAACTGTATGGTCGAAATCTATGGAGGCTGTCCATCAATGATCAATCTCGAGGGCGTGCTGACCACGCCACGGCCCAGAACACGGTCTCCGTACACCGCTTCAATTCGGGCGTTCTCAACGCGGGACGTGGGGGGACGTCGTCTCAGAGATTGGAGCTACCACCATTGACAACAACCGGATCGACTCAGTGGGCGAACTGCTGGTAAACATTGCATGGCTTGTACTCACTTTCGTTGAAGTTATCCCAGCGACTGTTGTTGAAACTCGGGGATGATGTGCATGGCGTACACAGAACCCCCGGCGCCGAGTCTTAGCAGACGTCAATGGCAGCGGAAGGACTCAAAAGTTCTGACTGCTTTTGCGTCCGGTTTGCCGATCCTGACATGAATCACGCTTGGACTCGCTAGTGTAGCCTCGGCGAAGAGTGCACCCAAGTGTACTTCTTATCCACAGAACCGCCTTGGGTCTCTTGATGGAGCAGTGCCAGACTCGACGGTTGAATTGCATCTCGGCGTACATAAGGATGATTTCCTGGAGCCGAACAATTTGCGGCGACCTCTCTGTCGGCAGTCATCATCAATTCCTTCGTAATACTTACCGTCCACCAACACCCTTCGTCGGCACTGAAACAAGTACGCGAGTATCTGGAGGCAATTACACGGCTGCTACCTTTTCCCCGTCGATTGTGTGGAAGACCTTGAATGGCTTCGGATGGAAGTTTTTCCAGCCATCTCCATTGTCGCCGCGTACAGAACAGATAACCCATTTTCCAACTCAATTTTGGGAACTGGTCCCGTTGACGAGCTCTCTGAGTGCGTACAATCACCGAGACTTTCTTAGAGCCAAAGACGCGTGCTAGACACGACCTCGGTGAAGGTTCTGCTCCAGACACGATATCTAAGGACCGCCTGAACATTATTTTTAATCCCTCGAAGTTGGAACCGATTGAAACCCATCTTTCCCAGAATCACCGGTCTGTAATTCGTCGGCAATGCTCCAGTCTCGTCTTTGTCCAACTCTAGCATGTTCCGTCAAGGGCATCAGTGGGCAATAAACATTTACTCTCTCTCGATGCGGCGGGCGGGAGTTCAAAGTTGATGTAAATGAGGTAAGTGGGTTTTTTGACCTTGACGTTAAGCTGCCATCGATCGAACTCCCTGGGAAATAAAAAGATCATAGCCATCCCATCATGACATTCGCACCGTAACTGAGCACACAAGCACCCACATAACGTTATTACAAGAGAGCATCCTTATTGTCGCTAATACGGATCGTCCCCCGCTTCATTCCGGTATGTCGCTTTTTTGTCTGCAGGTTAAGTTTCACGTAGCAACGACTCTTTCATTGTCAGATCCACTCTCATCTGATATGTCCATCTAAGGATTAGTTCAAATAAGTCTCAGCCTCTCAGGTTCTTGCGTTGTCCAGTTTACCCACCGTAACTATGCGTGACAAATGTCTTGTAGCACCTTTACATCCCGTGAATACGGTGTGGTCCATCTGCACACGCACTCTGAATTCGTTGTTTTCATCCCCCAGAAACCCGAGACTCTGAAGACCGGGAGCCAGCGAAACCTCGACGGCAGATTCTGCTCCGCCGTCATGTGCCCTGTGTATACATCCATGTTTTATCTTTACAGCCGATCCTGAGGACTCACGCATCTGCAATCTACATTGATTACATGTCGATGCTAAAATTCCAGCTCCTAAGTTGCGTATATACAGTCCAGGAGACTCGTACGCAACTTGTACGATTGTTACGCACCTTACGGTAAGTACGTCTTGTACTTTTCCTCCCTGCGGCAGGAGCCTCCAAATCCCTGCTTCTCTGAAAACTCCCACCTTTTGAATTCATCGCAAGTACCCCTGGGCACAACTACATACCCCTTTCGCTTTTCATGCGCTGGGTTGTAATCTGTATTGTCCGATGTCTCCGACACTCCGTAATAATGAGAGGCATCGTTGTGTTTGGCACCCCCTCGTGAACTTCCTTATTCGGACAAGTTACTTCTGCGGATCAAACAAGTTTGTGCGCCCTATGACCCATCATAGCGAGAAAATAGCCATCCGTGGCCACAGATGGAATTTCTCCGGAGTTCGTGTCATATGTACCACAGCAAGCAATCGAACCCCACCACTCGAGGTAAGTTTCCCGGACACGTATCTCATCATGGAGTAACGAACCGTGATAAAGAAAAAATCAGGCTATGCCTAACATTCGAACAAGTAATTGCGATGGTGAGGTGTGTAGCTCAGGGATGGCCAAGGGTGGGAGCACTGTCGACTGGTTGATTACAAGGGCACTTGCAGGAGACGACGTCCTTGTTTCCTTCCTCCCCCAATCGGGTGACGTAACCAAAGCTATGCACCCGCGGCCGATCTCAGGGTGTTTTGTCACAAACTTCCGTGTCGTTATTATATCTTTCCGTCCATTACATAAAAGCAACCTACATTCATTTACATAAATGTGGCGTTATTGCTCAACTGCTCGTGCTGGTGGTTTTTGTTCACTTGGGCTATGTTAGGTCATTTACACTTTATTCAAGCGGCCGTGGCCTCTATGAACTGGTTAGCTCACCGCAGACTACAGGATGTATATAAGCAGGTGAAGGTTAGTGCCTTCTTTCCCCCACACCTTCCCCCAACAACAGCTCGATTTTTAGATTTCACAATGGAGCAGCAACGCAAATCGATGTCCTCGTCCGATCTATCCGTGGCCATTGACCAGAACGAGCCCCTTACTATCATACAACAGTTCTGTCAATGTGAGTGGTAGTTTCATGATGTTTATAACGGTCAAATAATATCCAGCCATCCCATGCACACAGTTGTTTTCCCTACCTTGCTTGGCACACCTTCGCTAGAAACTCTTGTCGAGATCGCAGAGCAAGACGAAAAGAAGTGGTCTAAACTCATAGACCGTTTGACCACTCGCACATCAAACATCACCATTGTTGGCTCCCTCGCATCTTCGTACGTCCCAAACTGAGTTGTTCTGACGTACCCATGGTATACTCACCTTGTCGTTATGCAAGGGCCACTATTGGATTTCTGACTACCACCCCGCCAACTGGTATCGTAACGTGGAACCACCAATTCCCATACTTTTGCATCGCAACTTCGAGTGGGAGTGCTTTGCTAGCCGTTATGAGTGGCCTTTGCCTAATTTTATACTTGTCCGTCGTACGTCCCGAATCTGTCAGAGTGAGTGTGGTCACTAGTCCTTATCCGCTCCGTTAACAACCAACAATTATAGGAGTTGCAGAAAAGCATGTTCAAACGTGTATCCGTTGCTATGTTGTTGATGATGCCAGTTATCTTCCTATTCTTTGCGGCGTTCTGTATTGTCGTTGCATGGATCGCGGCTATCTGGTTCGGGAACCAAACTTGGCTGAAGGCTGTAGGGACCATTCTGACTGTTAGCAGTGCAGTGGTCGTTGTGTTTCTGTTTCTGGTTATTGGTGCGGTCTATTAGTCCTGCTACTATCTCTTAACATGTACCTTGTATTTTCTTTGGAACATGTGGACACTTGGCATTGGAGTCACGTAGATGCAAAGGAACTTGTTCTGGTTCAAGGTTACTAATGATGCCATTTATGTAAATACACTGCTGGTGGATTTCTCAGAGCCTTCTGGTACTTACTGTGCTTCTGTCATTTTATGTAACCTCAGGTGCTGTTCACCCTGCAAATGCAAAGTCCAGGTTTTCAACTTCAGCTTTGGCAAATTAGTCATGTGATGATGTGATGATGTGATGTTGATATGAAGTAGAACACTTTTAATGACAGCACACATCAGCAAAACACAAAAATGTGTTAGTAACTCATAGCTGCCCATAGTATTTGCACAATTCCATATTAATCCAAAGCAATGTCAAGCATCCTAGCAACTCATAGTGCCAGAATAGACTACACCAGACTTGCCCAAAGTAGTGGCCAGCATCCAAGCAACCCATAGCACCTGAGTAAGCCACACCAGTGATACCAGCAATCCAAAGACCAATAGCTACCTAGCATACAAGGGAACAGACACACCTAGCTAATACAGCAACCTAGATTCCCACTGTAGTAGATAACTTGGTAGATCTAACTTCATTGCTATGCATGAAGGCAATGAGCCCATGTACCTAGTTAGGCTGTGTGACACAGCCAGCAGAGGTTGACAGTTGTGTGACATGGGCCAGCAGAGGTTGAGCCAACCTATGAGTTGTCACCATAACATAGGGATTGGCTGTGATTATGTTGGCATGTGTCATTCAGGATTGGCTACAATTGTATTGTCATGCATGACAGCAGAATTGGCTACAATTATATTTTTAGGTGTCACATGGAGAGGCTTTGAATAGAATATCATCATGTCATAGGGACATATATAGCATAGCCCAGACTAGATCTGCATTGTGTACATAGGGCAGCCCAACATGACAACACAGTATGTCCAGGCATACAGTGGCACACAGCAGCAACTCCCAGCACATGGTAGAAACATGATATGCCATTGCACCAAATGCTGGGTGGATTACTGGAGTGGTGAGTACCAGTGGCAAGGACCATCTGAGCATGACTGAGGCAAAAGTGGCATTTTCTTGCATCTGACAGTGTGGTAGGTGGTAGTGGCAGGAAAGTAGAAGGGGCTAAAAGCATATCACCTGGGAGGTTCTGGAGGATGCTGGTATCAATCGCAACCCCCTGGACCATTGTAGTGGGCACAAGGTCAAGTATCCTTGCACCATCAGTGGGAATGACTGCTTGATGACTTGTAATTGCAAAGCCAGTGGGGGAGGGGCAGGAGGGTCCAGGTGCATCAGGTGAGGAATGTGGCAATGGGTACAGGTGCTGGTGTAAGGCCTCAACAAGATTGCAAAGCATCTGCAATTTGGTCTGGGTATCTGCAAGGGCCTGCTGGGTATTGGCAAGCTCATGGTGGGTATCTAGGAGATCTTGTGCCATCTCCATATGCTGCTGCTGCAATGCTGCAATCTCCTCTTCCATACACTCCATGGGGGTGGCATTGGGGGTCACTGGGCAGGATGGGGTAGTGAGACAGCTTTGGGATGTTGCTGCCCCCTGGGATGCTGGGCTTGATGTCTGCTGACCTGACTGCTGCCAGGATGGAGTGACAATGACCACTCCATCAAAAACTATGTTAGGCTCGAATAAGAATAGCAGAATGAAAGAAATGGAGGACTTACTTTGCCTGCAGGAGCTTGGAGTGGCCAAGGTGGTTGTCTTGCCAGTGGCAGGTGTCATACTTCTAGTGGCTGCCCACCACTTCTGGGTCTGCCACATGGGAGTGGTGGGTTCCAAGGATATTGTGGCTGATGGCCCTGGTGAAGGGCTTTGAGGATGGCATCAGCTGGGGGGATGGGTGGCTGTGATGGTTTGGGGACAGTCCACTGCTCCATCAAGTGCCTCAGTTACAGCATGACTGTGGGGTCACCTTGACCGTGACCATGCAGCCTTCACTCCAGTGAAGATACTGCACCTGTACTTCTGGCAGCTACACTGCCAACATGCAGAACCTGGCTTGACCACACATGGCAGATTTTTCTCCATGCACCTATTGCATTGGTCTTCTTCAGCAACAGGCATATAGCCAGCAGCAGGGGTTGCAAGAGCTGCAACTGAGTGGCCACAACCAGCAGATGCTCCAGCAGTTGCCATTGAAATGTTGGCATCACTTGCTGCCACTGACCTTGTATGCTTCTGTGGCCTTTGACTTCTGGGCCAAGTGCCAGTAGGAGCAGTGCAACTGGTTGATTGGCCACAGGGTTCTTCCAAAGTGTCAGCAGTGGCAGCAGCATTGTCACTTATCTGAAGTGGGTCTAATGGAACTGCATGCCATTTACCCTTGTTGATGGGCCTTTCAATCTGGTACCACAGATGGTCCACAACATTGGCATCCATTGTGTCTCTGATCTTGTCAAAGTTTGGCCACTCCTTCAATGCTGTAAGCACCACTGGATCTGTCATAATCATTTTGGCAGTGATGATGTGGGTGGGGATGGTGAATTTTGAGGGCAGTTCCTCAGCCAAAGGGTGCACATGGGTTTGGAATGTTGTAAATATCAGAGGATAAATAGATTGGCATGCCACAAACCAACTGTTCTCAAATGACATGCATAGCTCTTTTCCAGTATTGCTTGTTCCTGTGGTCATGGAGCATCAAAAGCTCCACCATGACTATGTCTGCAGCATTAGTGACTATTTCATGTGGGAGAGTGACAGAGGGAGTGACAGCAGTGGTTTGGGATGCTTCAGCATGTTGGGACATTTTTGTGGAAGTGGGGTACTAGTGTGAGAGCAGTGCAGTCAAGTGATAGTTGACAATTGTGTCAGCAGTGCAGCTGCATTTTATATTTTCATGAACCATTGTGCTGGCATCAACACTGGCTGGTAGACAAACAAGCCCAAATAGCCAAATCTGACATTGTGACACAATTGAACAATATTTCAATCAACTTATCAACATACTACAGATTGCTGAATATCATGGAGCAAAAGTCAGTAAGGTGGAGGCTGGGCAGTCTGGACACTCGATGTAAGTAGTTGTTATAACATACAACTGTCAATAACCTTTGCCAGTCATCTCCCCATGTAATAAACCTTGGGTATTGCCAGGTGCTGACAATACAGATATGGTTGTAGATGAACCAGAATTTCTACTGTTCAGAGTGGCTGCAAATGCCACAGCTTGGGGCCATCAGCTAGGATCACCATTGTCCTCCATGCTGCCAAATGCTGGCCCTTCCCAGCCATTGCTCAGCATGCTTGCACCATCTTGGGACTCCCCACCACTTTCACTGGAGGTGCAGCCATCTGCTGCTGATCAACAATGGGAGGCATGGCAAGCAAGTCATTCCATGCCATCCTTGGCCACCATTGTGCCTAGCTGGGATTCACCAACATCTTCCCCAGCAGCCTCACCCCCACCTAGATCATTGCTGGCATCCACACAAATTCCACAAACTGCATCATCTCCCCTGGATCATGCATATATGGATGAGTGGCTAGATGGTGCAGCAGCCTCTGAGCCACAGCCCATCCCAGCTACATCACAGCAACCATCTCCATGGCCTATGGCCACTGATGCCACCACTGGTGAGTGCCATGTCATCTCTTGTTGCCGCCAGTATTAAGTGTATTAGCTCACTTTTTGGTGCTGCAATGTTTTGCCAGTGACTTGGGTATACAAGGAATTCATGATGAAGGGCCACTTACAACATGTAAGTTGTTTATGATATCCCTCACATATATATCAATCATCCAGCAGTGGAAAAAGCACAGTGGCTTGTGGTTCTTCTTGCAGGACCAACTGATGAGCACCCACCCTGTCTTAACACCACCACTGATGGGCCAATCATTGCAGCCTACAACCACTACAGCAATATATTGGTGGAATCAAGCATCCAGTTTTGCCTGTTGCTTGCAAGGAGAGCACAGCTGGCAAGGACTCAGCAATATATACAAGATTTGATGACCAGTGATTGGGATGGCAAGGATGGATTGGAACTGGATGAAGATTTATTGTAATTATAGCTATTGGTTGTCAAAATGTAGTATCAAATTCCATGGCCATGTAAAATACAAATGCTAACATCGCCTATGTTTCTTGGAGGGACTAGGAGTAGGAACATTGTCATCAGGCCACTTTGGTGCCTTCCACACCCATTTTGATTGCCACATACCCCTTGCATTGTCTATGCTGGTCCAGTGCATGGGTACTAGGATTGAGAGATAAATTGAATCAACAATTCAGTGACCGTGGCACAAGTACTGACTCATCAATGAAATGGGCAACTTGTGCTTTGAATCTTCCTGTTTATGGCCTCTCTTGATAGTTGTTGGCACTGCCAATGGATCTGCCAGGCAGAGAGAATCAGGTGAATCAATGTGGCAGCCTTCTGGCATAGGTTGCACAGGGCTTGTATTGCCACCCACAACCTGCCACCAGGCATTTGGTGGTTCCTTGCCAATGGCTGAAACATGTCAGCCATTAATGTTAACAATATTCAGCTTCTGTGATCCTGCTGGCTTACCAATTGGCCAGCAGGTGTCACCCTCAGCCACTTGGCATCCAGCAATCCACTGCTGGGAATCCAAATCTGGCAATGGTACTGCCTCTGCAGTGTCTTCATCCACCATGCTTGTGCCTGTACCATCATTTCTGTTTGATGGCAATGTTGGTGGTATATGACAGAGATTGGATTCATTGTCAGAATCAGACCCTACAACTTTGTCCCCCATTAGATAATATTGCCACACATTTAAGTTCCAGATGGATACCTTCATACCTGTTTGCTGTCACTGCTTCTTCCTACCCCACATCATTCTATCCATTGTCCTTTTGCCTGCTGACTGGTCTGGGCTCCCATCCAAATCCTGCTTTGCACCCATCCTCACTCCACTGCTGTCAGCCTCTGCCACTGGCATTCAGAGGGACCCTCCAGCATCTCTCCACTTCTTGAAGCCAAACATATTGTTGGGATGCTGCTCTTTTTGCTCTTGCCACCATTCCAAGATTGCTGTCAACTCATCCTGGGTAAGTTGACTTGGCTCTTTGAAGGGAACCTCAGGTGGCAGAAACTGTGGTGCAATATAAAGTGCAGTGTTGGTCACTATTGCACTCCATGGAACAGTCACCTGTGAATTCCTGCAGGCCTTCCCTGTAATGCATGTCAATGAACAGTATTTCTCTGATTGTTATACATACGATAGTGAAATGTCACAAGTGTCTGCATGATATCCTTCAACTTTGGTGCCTGCATGTCCAATATGTTCGGGACATATGGTGTGCCATTTTCACTGACCAGCAGGATGGTTTTAGGTTTCCCATTGCTCTTTCTCTGCTTTGACCATGGAGTGGCATCTTTGTCTGGTGACTCGGCATCGGTGCCTCCATTCCCAAATGCCATTCATGCATACTTTATGAATATATCCTGGCACTTGTCCAACTCCTCAAATAATTTGCCATTACACAATTCATTGTTGAAATCATGTCTGGATGAGTTGGTCAAAATCTGGCAGTACTCATCTGCACAAAGAACAAATTCCTCACACTCCAACTATCACCTCTCCATTGGCATATTCCTATGCTGCCATCACTACCACCCTGGCACCACACCACTTCCACATTTCCTTAGCAAATTCCTCAGCATATTTACAGCCTTTCTTCTCTGCAGTTCTGTTTCTTGTGAGTGATGGGCAGCATTGCCAAATGGTATGTACTCTGACTGAACATCCCAAGGTGGCTGCTGCTCATTCCATTCTTTGGCCAATGCCTTGGCCTCCTGTATCTCCTTGGCAGTAAGGGACTTCATGACAGTGTAAATGGCCTTCTGATAAGACTTGATCATTTCTGTGGATCCCTGCTTGATCCCAGCTTCTTCCAACACTTTTTTGATTGATTTCTTTTGATGGTGCATGACCACCTTCCTCAGTGTCCAACTGCCACCATATTTGATCAGAGCCCATCAACTATGGCTCCAGCTGTGGTTGTACAACCAAGTCTGAATTGCCTGGAAATGGTAAGGACATGCCAGGTAATCAATGGGAGGTGTAGCACACCTTCTTCTTCCAAACCCATTCATGCATTTTCAGCATCACATTCACATCAAGGTTCTTTATCTTGTTTCTGAGGGTTAACATGATGGAGCTCCTCTTGTTTTGGTCAGCATTTTTCCATGACTCTAGCTCAGCCTCAAGAATCTCAATTTCAGCTGGCTGAAGACTGGTCCCCTTTTGTGGCAGGGGGGTTTTGGTGTTGTTGGAGAAAGAGTCACTTTCATAGTCACTGGATGCCATTGAGGATGGAGGTGCTTGTGTGCAAATTTTCAGGGGACAGCTAGTATGATGTCTATTGAAGAGAGTAGACTTCTCCAGCATTCTCCCATGTCAATGAAGGTTACATTTTGGTGTCTATTCCATTCTTGCATGCCAGTTGATTGGACAGTTTCCCAAGATGGCTAAGGTTGTTAGTCAATCATGAGATTTCCATCCCTGAGCCACATGCAAAGGCAGTGCCTCTCAGACTTCATGGATCTGAGATCTTTGGTAATTGGGCAATGTGCATTGAGATGCTGTGGATGGTATGGGCACTATGGGCATGATGTAGGACAAGGCTTTTTGCAAGTGCTCATTCATTTCATTGATCTCTAGGCAATGTGCAGGTGCCAGCACTGAAATCATGTGCCAGATCCTAAGACAGCATTACCATAGTCAGTGGTCAGACCTTGCTAGCATGTGTTGGCTGCATGTATTTGTTGCAATCAAAACCTTCTGCATTGCAACATTCATCATGGGGAAGTCAGAGATTGCACCAGTGGGACCTGCTACAAGAGTGACCCAGGTGACCTGGCAAAGAGTGAAAACCACCCAAGGATATAGGGATAAGATGGTAAAAGTAACACCCAGAAAGCAGGTGCCAGGCCATGCAACTCAGCCTCCTGTGCAGCCTGGCTCTGTTATCCTGGATCACCTGGACTGCCTGTTGGATGATGTGGGTGAACAACTGCCATCCAATAATGATGTATTGCCTGCAACACCTCCTAAACCTCAGAAAAGTCAGGTGTGTGGAATGCCACATTGCCCAACAAACCTGCAATGACAGTGTCACACAATTGTAGAATAGTTATCTGCAGCAGTGGTTGCTGCACCAATGGCATTATCTAGCCATCCTGTTGGACATGGAGGCCCCACCTGAGCCAAGGGATTTGTCCTGTGTGGAGCAGATGGAATTTTCCAGTGCACTGAGTGTGCCCATTGGCCAGTCTTCTGCACCATGTGTTGCTGGGCAGAACACAAGCACCAGCCATTCCACAGGGTGGAACAATGGAATGGAACATTCTTTGAGGAATCATCCCTGCAGCTGGTAAGCATCTGAATCATGATGGTTGTTCCTGTATTTACCATTCAGGCCAATCTCACCATCCCATTACCCTGATCATGCTGCTCACAGCTGACAGGCTGTTAACATACCTGAACAATGGTGATCAGAGTCCCTGCAACATTTTAGCTTTCATCAAAAGCTTGAGTCCCTGCCTGACAAGGATTAAGGAGTGCTGTGTCAAACTGGCCACTACCATGGCCCATGCATGGTGGCAGAATGACAGTGGCAAAGTGGAATTGGGATATGAGAGGAGACTGCTGTGGGATGTAATTGTGGAAGCTGCAGAATTTTTCACAGGAGTATTGGTAAGTGGCAGCACACCTTTGCTCACTCCCAACTCACCTGTGGTATCAGAACAGTGGCATTTTGCTACCCCTGCTTATTAATTCACATCCATCACCCACTGCTGAACATGCTGCACTACATGCAATGTGCACAGAAGGCTTGAAGGATATCAATCAGGAGTTATTGTGTCTTTCCAAGTTAATCTTACATTCACAGGAGCAGATGTCATCACTGGAAGCTGTTACCTGATCTAAACTTGCTTTACAGGTTGCATGAGTGGAGTTGGTGTTGAAGGTGTGGGAATGAACATACAGCCACTGTACATATTATCAACCATCTATAATGAGTTTCCTTTGGGGCTGGTAGCTTTACTTTATCAGAATCAATGCTGGTAAATGTATAGGGGCATTCCCATGATCACTGGGTCTTTTGTGTACTCTTCTCCCTGCAGCCCCAATCATGTCAACATCATTCTTGGGCTGGCAGTCTATAAAACCATCCACCAGGTTCACAGTCAGATATCTGTGATGTGCCAGCACCATTGAACCATCTCCAGCATGGTGCTCCAAAACTGCCCATTCAATGATGCCACTAGCAAAACAGGCTGGTAATCTGGACCCTGATTCATGTTGCCAGCAGTATCAGAAATGTGCAACCCCCAATTGGGACATGTGGAAGGGGCTAATATCTTCAGTAATGTATACTTCAGTGGCATTCACAGCTGTTCAAGGTTGTGTTCTGGCCAGGCCGCATTCCAAAATGCCAATGAGGCTGTGGTCTCATTGCTGCAGAGAGCTTCTATGCCACATTTAGTTCAATGTTGCCACATTAGTCACTACAATTGCTGACAACATTGGCCACACAATTGCTGTGGCCAGAGGGATCTGTGCTGTGTGTTCCTCGTGTCTCTGGATGATATCCCACTTGTTGCCAGTGGATTCCCTTAACTTCCCCAACCTGATTGCATTAGAAATGTCTGGTACCAGCACATTCCCATCCAACTATCTACTTTCTGACCAGCTTGTGGAGCACATGTGCTGCCGAGTTCTCCATGAGACACATCCTTGCACTGCCACTGTCCTGCCACAACCTCTCAAACTTGAGGTTCAGACATGTATCACACTCAATCAAATGGTGGCAACACCAGCCCAGGCCTATCATGATCCCCATATGCCATTTTAAGAGTGCTGCTGTGTGTCCCACTAACATTTAATGCAGTTCCCTCCAGCATTGAATTAATCAGGCTGTCAGAAAGCCTATCGCCTTGAGAAACAGGTTTCAATTTGAACCAGGAGGCCTGCATCCTTTCTGCTCACCCACCATACCTGAGTGGGTATTTGGACATTCCTGCAATCATTCTGGGTGAAGGGGATGCAACTGCTTTGTGGTATCTACCCAGTGCAATGTCCCAATCAATGCAGGTAGGCATTGTGATGTATCCTGCTGTCCTCAGTTCACAACCCTACCAAGGACCAGATGGTGGGAGCTATTCCCCCACTTTCCAATATGTTGACTTGAAGCATATCTGATGGTTCTTGGCAAACATCATCCAATTACTTTCTGGTGGATCACCATTTGCTGGCAGGCTGCTTAGAGCTTTCACTGGCCCAGCATCAACTTGGTCATGCTGTAAGGGTCATCCTTGTGCTTTGTCTCAAAATACTCATTGCTAATGTTGTAGACACTGGTACACCAGCCTTCTGTATCTGCTGACCTTGCAGCTCTGGCCACTCAGCAATGGATCCATGCTGTCCAAACACCATTAGCAATTCTCTCTGCTACACTTTCAATTATGCACTCTCCTTTGTACAATGCCAGTCACCAAGCCATGCAGCAGCTGACTGAGTGGTCTACCATGAATGATCCAAAAATGTTGGCAGCACTCTGACACTGGCCAATGGTTTACACCAACATCTCCATGATTGCTAACCAGTTGGCTCCCCTCCATCATGACCTGCAATCCCATGCTGACTGGTATGACATGCTCATTAGTGTAAGCAATTATTCTGAATGCATTCTTGACATTTCCTCTCTTGGTCTTCAATTCAATTAATGGCCTGGCACTGTTGTAGCCTTTTCTGGCTGGCTTTTGCAGCAGGTGTGGATGATGTGAGCAGCAACCATTGCTCACTAGCATTCTACATGTGGGACAATATTCACAACTGGCTTAGAGTCCCTTGAAGTGATTGGATGTGCATTCCATTGGTGTGGCAGGCTCTCACAGGCATGTAAATCACCCATGGCACCCTGTATTGTATTGTATTGGTCCTTATTTAATGCCTCAGGCATCCAGTATTTGATCAGCACAATCCTGGTTTGAATGAAATCTATGAAATCAATGCAATATTACTAGCCATCCTTCTGTGATCATATGAAGTATAGGTTATGATCTTATACTGGTGGTAAGATATGCAGTATACCGACAATTCATGCTATGCTTCATGTCCATATCTATATTACCCTAGCTGTGTGCTGCTGTATACAGAACTATCTGTGCTGGATGCCATGTGCTGACATGAATCCTACTCAATCCTGATGTGTGCCATGGTATGTTGGGTCAATGCCATTGGCTGCTGAGAACTGCCAGTTTATTCCTCTGCATCTAACTGTGTGCTGCTGTATGCAGAACCATCCATGCCACACATCAAGCCTTGACATGGATCCTAAGCCAGTCAGGTGTTTGCCACTGTATGCTGTGCCCATGCTGCCAGCTGCCAGGCATCCCTGTCAAGTCTAGCTGACTTGGCCACATTGCTGGCATGTGCTGAGCAATATCTGCTGGCTGCCATGACCCTCCAGAGACTTATGGAGCAGGTGCTGCCAGGTGCCACAGTACATGTTGCCACAACTTCCCCATGAATTATGCTGTATGCTGCAATGTGCCATAATGTGGAATGCCATATCTGCCAGCTGCTACTGCTTCCAAATACATGGTGCTGCATCCCAGTTTGTGGTACTGAATGCCAACCTTTTAAGCTATGCCAATTCTGGTAGTATCTGCAAGGGGTAGGCATGCAGGGTATGCTGGTAATATTTGCTCAGAGTGGCTGGCATGCCACAGTTTGCTTCAGAACATATGCCAAAAGCTTACCCTAGAGGGCCATTGCATGCTCCTGAGTGCTCTGAAATGCTATGGTATGCTCTGGCACATGTGCCACAGTTTGCTTTGCAATTTGCTCTAGAGTGTCTGCCATGCCACACCTTGGTTTGGAACATATGCTGCAGCTTATTCTGGAGGGCCATTGCCTGCTCCAGAGTTCTCTGGAATGCTATAGTATGCTCCAGCACATGTCCCACAGTTTACTCTGGAATTTGCTATGGAGTGGCTGGAATGCTGCAGCTTATCCCAGAGGCCATGGCATGCTCTGGCACATGTCCTGCAGTTTACTCTGGAATTTGCTCTGGAGTGCCCAGAGGACAATTGCATGCTCCACCATTTGCTCCAGAGTGGCTGGCTTGCCACAGCTCACCTAGGAACATATGCCACAGCTCACCCCAGAGGGCCATGGTATGCCCTGGAGTGCTCTGAAATCTTACAACATTGCACTGCTGAGCTATCCTGAAGTGTGCTGAGGTCTTGTGCCAACTTCCAGTGCTGATCCACACATGCTGCAGCATGCCACTGGATAGGTGACATCTCACACTAGGCTACTCCAGGTACTACAGGGACAATTTGATTGTGGCCTACTCATGTGTTATTTGATAATAGAAGCTGGGGTGGTCCATACAGCAGGGGGATGACTCAGTGTAGGGCTCAACCTCTGCTGGCCCATGGGACATGGAAAGTTGTCAGCCTCTGCTGGCCCTGTCATACAGTACAATGTAGGTACATTATGTGAGGCAACAACATGCAGACATAACATACAGCATTTTTCAATAAGTACAGGAAAGTAATGGATAGTACTAGTCTAGACAAATGGCAAGTATTCAACTACTGGCATGCTCAATAACTGTGCCTATCAAGATCTGGCATAAGTAAAATAGTGGCTCAAAAGAAAAGAGTGAGCATAGCATACCATCAGACTCAAGAGATGGCTGCAGCTCACTGGCCAGAACACTAACATTGAAAATAGGCTCCCCCTGTTATGCTGACAACTTGTACTGCATCACAAATTGGGTACTGAAGTACAGGCACATGACTGCATGAGAAGTGATGTGTAATTTAACTTCACCAGCAGTGGGACACTGGTCTTGGCCAACCAAAGTCATGCTGTCAAGTCCTTGTTGGTACAGCAGACAGAGCTAAGGGTGGTTGCAAAGTAGATTTTGAATGAGGGAGTGGTACAATACATGTGGGTTTATATACATATGTAGAGTACCTGCAGACCAAACAATTGAAATCATTTGAATGTACACCTGCCTTCCACTAAAGGCATCATTGAGTCACCCTGACAAGGGTGTAAGGGAAACTAACTGTGTATAGGGTATGCAGGGGTAACTGAGTACTGGGGGTACATGCATCACATGACCACATGGATCAGGGCCACCAGCAGATCACAGAAGGAAGGGCGGTCAGATGTAGTCTGGCTATAGTACAATGCAGAGTAAACAGGGGTAAGACATAAAAGGAAACATACAGAATGTAAGACTTGTAAGCCATCTTATGGGTGGCAGAACATTGTCACTCGAAAGCACAATGAGTGACAAACACAAAGTCTGAGAAAGGAAATATGTGAGCATGGTGTAACATCACCCCCCCCCTCCCCCCCCAAAAGGCCTTGGGCTACCCAGGAGCAGATTTCACTGTTAGTTGCTATGGCAAGTTGGGCAGTCAGATGACCAATGTCCAAGGCATGAGCATTGGTAGCAGGCAAGCTGATGCAGGGGATGCTGCCAATTGATGGGAATGAGCCCACCAAGTTCGCATTTGCTGAGGGAATTGACAGGGACTGGAACAAAGGGACCATCTGGGAGAGATCAGGTTGTCTTAGTAGTGTAGAAGATGGCCTGTCCTGCTGAATCTCCTCTGGCCTGAGTGAAAAAGTTGAGCCAGTCATGGGGTGATCTGTTGAAGGGGACGTCCACAAAGGCATCTGCAATGGCTTGAAAGTGCTCTCAGCCTTGGCCCAGTATAATCTTCTCCCAGCAATCATAACACCTCTGTTTGACATTTCCTCCAACCTCTGGAACTCCTCCTCCAGGTTGTGGAGACCCTCCATTACTGGCTTCTTGGTTCTTGAGTGGCCATGCTTCCTCTCAGTTAGAGTTCTGAGGAAGGCTTGATCCTCTAGGCACTGTTTGACATGCTGGAGAGAACAGCCCATGGACCATGATGTCAAGGGGGAGTTGGTTGAGAAAGGAATGAAAGGATGAGATGAGTGAGGGGCCATAGTCTTCATGAATGATTTTGACGATGGACTTCTTGTGTCCTTAGGGCTTCCTGGAGGATAGAAGAATTAGCATGGTTGGTATCTTTGTACATGTGGGCATCAAAGCTTCCATCCACAGTTCCAGCCAGGTCATAGACCTGCTTTCTGACTACTTCTGTGCTTCTGAAGATTGTAGACAGCATCCATAGATGCTTGTGGTGTTCTCCTGCTCTCCAGCTGTGTGACTCCCAGTGCTCAAAGTCGTTAAGCAGTTGCATGTAACCAAGGAAGTGGCTTGCCTTGGGAGCCAGTCTGCTTGTTGTGCTGGCAGGAGCTGAGGGGGCAACTGTAGGGGCTGAGAGTGTGGCCAGTGTGACACAAGGCTCTGGAGTGGATGGGCCAGGGCAAGAGGCTGGGGTTGGTGATCTATAAGTGGCTTGGGAGAGTGGGGGGGTATTGCAGGATCAGAAAGTGGAGTCATAATGAGACTTGGGTGTCCCCTCATGAGCTTTGGACTTTCCCTTATGGGCATCCTTGCAAACTCTCTGGGACAAGGGGACCAAGTGGATGACCAGGTATGGGTATGGGTGTGTGGTGGAGGTGACAGAGTCATGAAGGGGTTGGTAGGCACCACCATGTGAGGCATTGGGGGATACTGAGGGGGATATGGTGCATACCACTCTGGGGGAGTGTACTGGTGGTTCTGAGAGGTGAGGAGGGGTGCTGGCATAGAAATCAAAGTATGGCCTGGAGGGATTGTAGGGTTTGTCGATATCAGTGTGGAAGTCATTATCAAAGTAGTCAGAGCCAGGATTTTCTGTGTTGGGGGTGTAGGACATAGCAGTTCAGAGGTTGTGGACATGCTTGTACTCCCAAAGAACCTCTGGGGCATGTATAAGGTTGTCCTTGCTCTCCCAGCTGTTTTGGGAGTGTGGGTAACTGAGCCACTTGACTAGGTAGAGGTATTTTTTGCTGTGGGTTTTTACTGGTCTCTTTGGCTGATGACTTGACCTTCCATGCATGTTTGTGATTAAGTATAGCCTCAAACTCCCATTTGTTCTTGTCTCCTACCAATTCTGGTGGAGGTGGGGGTTGTGCTTGACCATACTCCTTTGTTTCAATGAAAGGGGTCAGTTTGGATGTATGGAACATGGGGTGTATTTGCCAGTTAGGAGGAAGTTGGAGCTTGTAGGCTACTGAGCTGATCCATTTGGAAATTACAAATGGCCCATGTCATCGGGGTGCAAGCTTCTTTGATGGAACTTAACCCCCCTTTGTAGGTCAGAAGTGTCCAACCAAACCTTATCTCCTATGGAGAACTCTGTATAGGCTCCTTTTGATCACAATTTCATCAACTCCTGGGCTTCTTTATGAGCAATAATTGTGGTGTCTCGATTGGCTGTCAGCTGCTTGAGTCAGTCTCCTGCTAATGACCCTTCCAGTGGTTGCCCAGTTGGATAGGGGGCAGGATCAAAGCCATACATGAGCAAATATGGCATTTGGTTATGGGACAAGTGTATGCATGAGTTATGCACCATTTGAGTGTCTGGGAGTTTGGTGTGCCAGTTATGGGCCTGTATCTGTGTACATGCAAAGGCAAGTGCCAACCTCTTGGTTTACATGTTCAGCCTCTCCATTGGTTTGTGGGTGATACACAGTGGAGGCCTTCAATTCAATTCCAAGGGAGCGGTAAAGGTCCCTTGTGAAGGCAGAGACAAATTGGGGTCCTCAATCTGATATGACA